CCATTCAAACGTATGATATATTTTTCACAATAAATGATTTAGTGTATTTTCATAACTTTTCAACCCTTTCTCTTAATCCAACTGTTTCTCAATTCGCTTAGAGGCGTCATAATAATATTGTCCCAGTTCTGATTCCATACTTGTCCTACTACACCACTCGTTCAGATTAAATGTGTCCTACTACTGCGGTTGACAGCAATTTTTTTTTAATGCGATTATTTTAATACATATATTACAAAAGAAGGTTTTTTTTTCTTAAATATGACTATGAGATCCCAGCTATCTGCTAAGATGATAAGTTTTCATGTACTATGCTTAAATTTCGTAGTAAAAAAACAATATAAAAAATTTATGTTCAAGTGTCCAGGTACTACCTCCTTTACCTTAATTGGTATTAGACTCTAGGGAAGGATTTTTAGACTGTTAAACTGGGAGGGTTTATTACAGACTGACGTTATTGAGAAGATTAATTCGATTATTTGACGGATCGTGGCTGGCATCGGGGCGATCTTCCCGAGTTTCGAAGCCCGCATGTCTCGGAAGATAAAGAACAAGGGTCAGCTAGTTCGGTTCGAAGGAAGGCTGATAAATTTACGATTGATCCTGTAATCTGATAATCGGTAGCTGGGCGTCGGTAATCCGATTTCGGTTCAGCCTCCGGTCGCCCGGTGATTCGACGTCTCTGGAAAAAGCTCTCGTTTTGCATTTATCACGAGCGTTTATAATCGGTCAAATCGAAACCAGCCCTCGTCGTTATCTCTCCCGGCTGGTCTCGAGTAGGTGATATCTGCACAGTTTACATATTTGAACGGTTTTCGGGTCCCCTAATTCCTCTCCCCTGATTCATACCCCGTCTCTCGTCGACGGCTGCTCATCAATCTCACTCGAATCCTCCTCGGCTGTTGAAGAACAGTCGAGATACATACTTAAACACCGGGTTAAACGATCATTCCTGTATATTCGACTTGCGCACGTACTACGGTGGACAGGGACGGAACTCCTCTGAACGTAAACAAAATCGTGTTAGCTTCCAGCGTATTACCATCCATTAACGCGTTTGCACGTCGCTAATACGAAAAATCGTAAAAAGTAAAGTAAACGGGCGAGAACGAAACCATAGAGGAACACAATTTCCCCGCGAGGTTTTTTTCCTTTAGGGTCGTTCTGGTTTATTTCAGTTGCTCGCACGACTAATGTTGAATGCACTTCTTCTGTTTGTAACTTGTGCTGTTGTTCACTTTTTGTACCGCTGTTCAGTGCATGTTTCCTTGCGTTTTTCCAATCGCGAGTCGACTCGAATCAGTGAAACGAAAGTTGGTCGTAGTCAGAATCGATCAAAGCGCATGCGATACGGTTTTTGTTTGACGCGCTCACTGCGTCGAAAATCGTTTTTGAAAACGAGATTGCACGTGGATGGTGTGTCGATGTGTTTTGAATCGGTGGCGAAGAAGAGGTGTCGAAGAGCCGTGTGGTTTCAGCTGGTGGACGACGACGGGAGCATGGAGACGGCTCTGATCAATTACCTGTTCACGAAGCAGATCGTAAAACGGCTTCGCAATCAGTTGGACATCGGGGATCTCCAGCGTAAGCGCAGCTATTGGAAGCAGTGCGCTTTCAACGCGGTCTCCTGCTTCGGCAAATAAAACCGATCGCCGAACTCAAGGATCGCCGCGACGGTCCTTTCCTTTTTCTCCTCTCTCGTTCTTTCTTTTCCCCCTCGTCCGACCCTCCGGTCGTCAGCGACTAGCTTTTAAACGATTTAAACCTCGAAGCTCTGACTCCGGGTTTTCCATCCGCGACGGCAACGAAACTTTCTCGTCGCGCGCCACGGTCTCCTCGAACAAATACACACGGTTTATGTCAGAATTCAAACTCGCGAATATTAATTAGCGTCGTTGTTTAACGGGTAAACCGGCGATGACAAGTTTCCCTCAATTCGAGAGAAAGGAAATATGAGAGTCACCCGGAATACGAGATCTCGTCAGATAAAATCTAAATAGGAAACGTTTTCGACCGTTGGCGTTTCTGAATGATCAAATCGAGAAGCACTCTTGTCGCGGTGCAAATTGGAAATTTTGTCGCGGATGCGAACAACCAAGCAGAGCCATTTCCCGCAATATATATGTATACGTACACTGTATTCGATATTAAGAACAACAAAAATGGTAGACTAGCGATGCACGTGTTAAGAAAATGCATAATTTTCGTCGGCGTATCCATCGAGGATGGTTTGCCTCGTTTTTTTTTTTTGGTTCTGAACAAATTCAACGAGTCCCTTGTACATCGGATCCTCTATGTTTGCAAACACGCAGTGGCTGTAATTAATGGAGAACGTTCAATAAAGAATTTATTTCCGTTGTACGCAATCGGTTAGGCGATGGAGAAAATAATAAAACGAATCACGGCACGATTCCAGTAAAATCCCTTTTATTTCGTGAACACCCGATCGCCGGGTTACAATTACGTGAATTTCATAATTTACAATTTTAATTCGGATACACAAAATTCGCGAATTAATCGATCAACTGGATCGTTCCCACTGTACGCATCGTCGAGACGAGGCACCTGCGAAAGGAAGCGATGAGCGTGTCAAACGAGAGAGAAATATGTGGAAGGTAAGTCGAATCGTCGAAATATTCATCATAGTGATCCCACGACTCTGTCTACTCTTTGATACGCAATCGTCGGAAGTCTTCGCAATTAGCAATCACTTCTAAGGCGTCTCAGTTAAAATAGAACCACCAAAGATATGAGTAAACTCGATCCGACGAAAAGTACAGGTTTTTGCAAAAGTTTGAAAGCAGTTACGTTTTTCGCTTAAACATAATTCTGTTACGTCTATGATAAAAATTTATTAATCTCAAACTTAGTATAAAGAATTCTATGTTGAATTAAAAATAGAACTGCTTCTAAATTTGAAATGGAAATTGACGTACCGTGAAATCACCGGTGGGTGCAGGGACAGGAACAGTAATCCGAAATCAGATTAACCGCGTGCTCCTCCGGTTGTTGAATTTCCGAAGCCATGGCGGTTGCCTCCAGCCAGGAAATGCTCACGTGCCTCGTCGTTCTCGGGACGTCCTCGAACTCCTACGAGAAAACGAGAAGCGTACCGCGACCGCAACCTCTCCAAGAGGAAACGTTCCGAGCGGAAGATAATAATCGTCGCGATTAACGATGCTGACGAGTCGCGGAAGCTGGCACGAGGCGTCGGCGATAACCGACGCTTAATTTCGTTATCGACCTACCATCACCGACTCGGTCGATCGACTTAAAACGCCTCCACTTTCCATTAGCGAACCGAAAGCCGATAAAACACGTCGACATTGATTTCGTATTTGTCTTCGAACATTGAAAATGATTTCAGCGTTTCATAAATATTTTTCGATCTCTCGTTGTATTTACCGTTATGCGAGGAAACAATGGATCTGTCGGAACGCGTTTCTGTTGGCATAAATTATTCTTGCTAACTGCTCTTAGAGTAGTAAAATGCTTAGGGTAGTAAAAATAAAATTAATTTCGAGTCGACCCACTGCATACGAGTCGCAGTCTCGACTTGTATTAAAACTCCAATTTGTTCAGTCCGTAGAGAACGGTAAGGTTTCATAGAAATGTTCGTCGTAATAACGCGGTAGTACGACTGAAAGCATGTTTGTACAAATTGTTCTCGACGGGGAACAACTTTGTCCGTAAATATTACCAAAACGTACGCAAACGTGATAGTTACGTACGGAAAGAGCCGTCGACGATATCTCTTTGGAAGGGTGAATTAAGTACTCCACCCCGGCCCACTTTCGATCCTTCGACACTTTCGCCCCGAGACTAATATTGGTTCTGCTAAGGAAAATTAATTGACGATTTCGGAAAACGAGACACAGTACCTCCTGAGAGAAATCGATTTCCATTAAATGTCGTATCGACACTTACGCGATTCGGGCTACTGAGTTCTTTAATGTCACGACAATTAATATACGAAATATTGTATTGAATTTTATTATGGTACGTACGACCGTCGGTGTACGGATGCGAATGGGTTAAAAAGCGCGATCGGCACCTCGTGGATTTACTGACTTTAACTCAGGTCAGACGTAATGGGTAGGAAAAGGCGAATCGGGAGTACGCGACCCATTTTTTGCAAGAGGCTTTAGAAGACAATCCTTCTAAGAAACTCGTCTTTTTCAAATCCGCCTCGAGGGAACGCGAGTCGTTTTGTCCGAGATGGAGAGAAAACCCCGTGGCCCACATTTCGGCTACTCTTGCAGGTTCATTCGCTCCCCCGGGACGTTACGTACTAAGATTCAAGTTACACGAAACTCAACCCATTTCTCCAGAATTCCTAGAAACCGACTCTAAAGTAATTAAGAACCGTCCCCGGAGTCGCCATGGACCTGATTGAACGCGATCATCGATCGATTACGTTACAAACTGTAAAGGATACGTCTTGAGCACTTTATATGCGTGCTCCTTATCGCTCGTGTTAAAACCATCGGCCAGACCCACTGCTGCACCCTTCAAAACGCTCTTTGACTTCTGCGAATTAATATTTATTAAATACGTTTAAATTACTTCCCATCCATCGTCGTATCATACTCTTTGGAAATGTAATTCTATGACAAAGGGAATTCAATTATCGCTGTCCTGTAGCTTATGGCAATGTACTTCTATAATGGAGAAAATTAAACTGTTCATGCAAATGGATTTATTAATCTGTTTTTTATCGGACTGTCAATCGAGTAAAAGTATAAAGCGTACCAACTCGTTGTCCGTCAGACTGGATAAAGGTTTCGCGTCTGACGGAAGACCGTTCTTTGGTTTTCGTCCTTCGATCCAATTCAACGGTATCCCGGCTGAATTGTATTCTATGTACTGTAATATAAAACTAAAGGTAACAGAGAGTAGGGGACGAAGAAAGAATTCGAACACGCACGTGCTTATTTATGAAGGAATAACATTCCGCTTTCTCCTCCTTCGGAATACTGTCATTCTCTTGTACGTCTTTACTAAAACTGGTCGTCGCGCGATCTTCCTTTTTCTTCGGCGAAGGAGTTTTCAGTGTTATTTTGGAATCGCACTGTCTCTTCTTCGGCGACTTCGCGTCTACCGGTTCCTCCTTGGTGGAATTCGATCCCAGCAAGAGGCTGAGATCTATCGAGTCCAGCCTCTTTTTAAACAGATCCCGTAACTCGTTCAAAGTGGTAGCTGAGGACCAATCTTTGTCATCACGGATACGAGTGACACGTGGAAACCTGATGCTGATACCGTCGGCCGTATGAACGCCTTGATTCGTGAACTCCGCTCCGGTTATCTCCCACACGGGCTGGTTCTGAAATTCCCGAAGGAGATCCTTTGATACCGAATACCTGAGTATCACTCGAGTATCTATCGTGTATCGAGTCGGGAGTCTACCTTCGGATCTCGCGCGACGAAGTCGGGAGTCATTGGCTTGTTGGCTCGTAGCCAGGATGGCACCTTGGCCGGATCCTTGCCTATCTTTATCATATCGAGCTCGTCCTGAAGCATCGCCAGGGTAGCATCGTCGTGACCCGTGTGTACCTAAACCCGAGACAGTCTCTTCTAAATTAAATTACACTACAGATTGTTCGATCGTCGAGAGAAAAGAAACTACTGTATTAAGAATGTATAGAGGGAAGGGATTCTTTTTTATTTCATTCAACGTATATTGTACGTGGAGTACACACTTTGGTCACTGTTACCCAATTGTCACGATCTTCGTCATAACAGCCCATTAGAAATACGGACATCATGCCACCTTGAAATCATGAGAACGATTAAATAAAGAAAGAATAATACGAATACAGACTTCGTTCGAATCGATATGGAACGAACCTTTGTTCCCGGTACCGTACCACGCACCAAGCACGACGAGATCTGCGCTATCAGCCATCACGCCGCCGCACAGATAATCCTTCTTTACCTTCAACCAATGCCTCTTGCCCGGCTCGTACTTGCTCTGCAAGGCATCGGTGGTCTCTTACGGATGTTCCTCAAGTTAAAACGAACAAGCGAACTCGAGAGATACTCACGTGCACATCTTTGAGAACCAGTCCTTCAAGGCCCATCTTAAGGACCTCCCCGATCATCTCCGCCAGGTCCGTCGCTCTCTGAAAAATGCTAAAAGCTTTAGAGAAATCGCCCTCTCGCGTTTCGACGATAGAAATGGAGTGTCACTTACATGGACTTCTTTCACCTCCGACAGCATTATCCTGTTCGGTATCTCGGTCATCCTTTCCGTTAAAATTCGTCTCCGTTCCATCATAGATCTACACGCGATGCAAAGAGTAAAACCCGATTCTCCGATCAGAAAGATGAAAAACTTACTTGTGAAGCAAGGGTTCGCCGTTGTAATAAATGCAGTCGAAGACGAAGAGGCAGACGTTGGCATTCTTAAATTCAGCTTTCTAAAAAAATGAAGTATTCAGAAAAGGAAATAAAATACTTGATGCGATTTTCGAACCTTGTGTTTGCCTAAGCTGCCGAACGGTAACGGCTGCCCGGTCTGTGCGTCGATCATGAGGACCTCCGAATCCAAGATTAAATCATCGCCATCGGGAAACGCTTCCGGGATGTAATTCTTGAAGAGGTTCACCTAGAATAAACCTCAGGATAATCCAAGAAATTATGTTACTGACGTTAGCGTTTTCTGAGTGTACCTTATGGGCCAGGACAGGCTTCAACGACCTGCTGAAATAACGAAACTCGCTACCCTTCTTGTGCACCTGCACACGCTCCCCATCGTACTTCACTTCGGCCAGCATTCCGTACGGGCATTTCTTCATCGCCATCTCTACAGATTTACAAGCCTCTGCCTATTCGACATCAAATACCGAATTAATTTTTGTCGCAGATAATATAGAACAGAAAATGATTTTCGTTCAACGATGGAAGCTGTTAAGCGTGAAGTACCAGCATCGGCAAAACAGGAGTCATCAAGGAGAGCGTAGCTTTGATTTTTGGCGACGATCCAAGCAAAGACGACGACGACGACGACGATTCCCCGGCTCTCGACGTGCATCTCTCGATCACCGAGTCCAAATCTCTGGACGCTTGGTACGCCTCGTAGGCTTGGTCGTGAATCGCAGCCAAACTATGAACAAGAATCGGCAGCTGATCATTCACTGTTCGGGGAAACTGCGTATTTAGCGATTGAGACTCACACATGTTTCGGGCCAGTGTTTATCCTGAGATCGTGCTTGATCAGCCGGATGATCATTTTTAGGTCGTCCGCGGTGCATCTGAAACGATTTGAACGTGGGAACGCGATACAATAGATTTCCTCTCGACGGTTTCGCTCGAACACAAATTCGATCAATAGTACACATCCGGTGAGAAGAATTTCGATTCTTCTGTTCTTCGAATCGATGAATCAGTCGTACGAGATCTGTGCGACTATTTGATCCAGTCAAGAGGAAACGCTAGATAAACGGGAAGCGAATTTTTGGCAACTAGTAGAGTTTACCTGGAGATGATCGAGCGGAAGTGATTGACTTGTTCGTCTTCTTTAGTCATCAGCGACAGTTTCTCGAGGAATTCGTCCACCTGAACAAGAAGCAACACAGATCCTACGTTAGAATCCCTTTTAATACATTTTAATCCTAATCGTTAGAGAGGAAGTCTCTAATTTTTCTTCGCAAATACAATGCGCGGTTTTATTACGGTAAATAGCGTAAGCTTTCCTTGATTAACGAGAGTACACATCTCATCTCGAGTATCCCTCCTCTAACGATAAGTAGAGAACAGTCTCGCAAATCCAGTTTCGTTTACCTCTCGAAGGGTGAGCACGCTCTTCTGAGCCGGACTCGAAGCGACGCTTTTTCCATAATAAACGCGAATAGTCTCGGCCACGTCGCCCTGCTCGAGGTGCTCCAGCATCTCGTCCTCGTCCTGGAGTAACACGCGAGAGAACAGCTTGACCAGCTGTTTGCTCTGCAGATTGTACACCCTCTTCACCGCCCCGGGTAGCAGCATTCTGCACCAGAGTTTCACGTCGCTCTTGAAGCCGCCTGAAACGTCGTAGTACGATCTTTTCATGATCCGCGGACAGATAACGTCCGACCGCGTTGTAGGGCCGTCGAATGACCAACTTCCCGTGTCAACAGCGGACGCGAAATCGAATTGAACCGAATACGAACGGCCGGCTATCGTATCTCAATTATCGTTCGGTAACTTTCCACTCCGTGGTTGCATTCCGACGCGACGCGTTTCGTTCCCTTTTCCTTCGAGTCGAACATGTAAATAGGTCGAGAAGGACTTTCTTCGATGAAAATATAAAAAATCCAATACTTTAGGAATGTAATTATTTATTTCGATCAGGACGGACGTTCAGGTGTGCTACAGCGCCGCAATAATTAGTAGTAATTTTTTATCACTACAATTTAGACTCCATGAATTTTTGTTCTAATTGATTGCGAGAATTTCAGATGCGTAAAAGGCATTCACATCCTCAGCTTCACGTCGAAAAACGTGAACATCGTTTCATTCATATCATCGAGAACGCAATGACTCTGGCGCAGAAACAGCTGCCGAATGTTTTGCGCTCTTCTTTGGAGGATTAAGCTAATTATAAAGTGCGTACGACGAATAAACATGGGGTCCATCGAACGCGTACGTAATCGTTATCAGTTAGTAGTCGCGGGTTGTCGCAACGTTACTTCCTGCATTCGCAACTTATCGGGTCGATACCTCCTCCTCTTCCGACTCCGACCTACACTCGTCAGCGATTGATCCCATTCGCGCGCGCGAGAAGCCTAATTACAATTTGATACTTAATGAGAGTAAGCGGTGCGTTCATCCGTTGCGATGTTTTATTTTCTAAATTGATAATCGGCTTTAATTCTATGCCGAAGCGATGATACACAAGAGTAGAAGGAGTGAGGAGTAGTAAAGAAGTGAGCAACGAACGAGATCACGCGATTAGGTCTGGCGCGGAGAAGCCTAATTAAAATTTAATACGCGGATCGGCGTATTCTTTTATTTTCAAGACTGATAATCCACTTGTACTATGCCATTGATAATATGGAAATGTGAAGACAGTGGGGAGTTGCAAAAAAGTGAGAAACGAACGATTACGCGATTATAACTTTGCAATTTTTTTTTAAACGGGGTAAGAGACAACTCTCGTACGCGATTGGAAGTGACGTTGAAGGACGGAGCAGAGGGTGAAAACGGTCCAACCAGCGGAGAATCGAGTTCGAATCAGAACCACGAGTCACTCTCCGAGTTGGTCGTTTCGTAACGGATTGAATTTTAACGACGGTCACAGAAATTAATTAGAGATCCGACGTTCGAGTCCCTGACATTTGCCCCCCTGGCTTATCACCGAAATAAACCTACGAAAATACAAAATTATCGCTGTGTTGTTTACGTTTTGTTTGACCGACAAACGATGCACCTTCAATGAGGCGATTTCGGCCTAACTCCCGGGACTCGTAATTAAGATTTTCGGCTCCTAAAACGTATTTACGTTCGCGCGATATCCGCATCAATAGTCTCCTCAGATAGATCCGTGGGAAGGAGGTGAATAAACAGAGGTCAGGTTGCTGATTAAAAAATATTTACTGAAAGACCGATACACTGGCGGTAATAAAAGTTGTATCAATCGTAAGAGATCGTTTGAATGCACCGAGGAATTCCATTCACTCCTGACTCCCGGAGCTTTGCGCGAGATCGACGACTTGTTGCGCGAGTATCAACTCACAGCTACACCCCCGTTCACGGGTTTTAGGGCGAATCTATCAGAAGCCTGATGAACATTCCGAGCAATTGAAAGCTCGTAGTATGCGAGTACATAATCGTAACCATATAACGAATAGTGAAATTTCCTTTCAAACGAGAGAATGTTAATAATTTTCGTGTAATGCTTCAATGTAAAATGAGCTTCCTTTAATCTTGTTATTAAATTCACGACGTATCAATCATCGTTATTTAATTATTCATTAAAATACCAGAAGTTTAATCTCTTTAATTATACTCCCAGATTTATTCAGTTTGTGCGATGTCCTAAGATTCGTGCAAAAAAGGATGTGTGCAATTTGTGAGGGAGAGGGGAGTTCGATATCGAGCGTCGAGCGATGAGTCTCGTGACGAGAACCGAGATAAGGTACGTCCACGAGAATCGCTGAAAAGTAACGAGATCTTCGATTGTTCTTATGCAAGTCGGCTCGAGGTCGTCGGCCGGGAGAGAATCGTCGCGCTCGAGGAGCGACGCAGGCCTGGCCGAGGTAATAAAAAATTGAGAAACTGGGCCACGTTGGAATTTTTCGGAAGATTGCAATGAACCGAGCGGAAAGTCACTGCGACTCGGCATAGTTTGTCGCGGCGGTCGAGAATCTTCTGTGCGTGTCACCGAAACTCACGCAATCAACCCGCCCGTCCCCTGCGTCCGATGTTGATCCGACAGCGTGGCTCGTAGGGGAAGTTGAACGACTTTGAAGCCACATATATTATTGCAAAACTGAGTAAATGTGAAGAATAAAACGAATTGAAAAGATCACTCGACATTTAAGTGAATTATAATTTATGTGCCGATAGGCTGAATATAAAAAACTCGAAGCCGAAACGAACGCGCTACATATTTAAGTTGCATAACAAGGAAAACGAGTTTGACGATGAAGAATGGAAGGGGGAGAGATGATACGAAAAGGGGAGATTTCGTATAACTTCTAATATGTCGAAATTCAAAAGAATATCGACAGGATGACTCGTTGTAAAAACAGACGATAAATTTAATTGACGAGATGCACAGATCGTCAAAGAGGATACAGGCATTTCGTGATTCGCGCAGGGGTGAAATGTTGCAAGACGCGATCGGAGGCTAGCTTGATAACACGCGCGGATCTGACCTCTAGCACGCGCGGTCCCTTAAAAAATCAGTCGAGAAGCGCGACTACAAGAGGAGGAGGAGGAGAAACAGAGGCGATAACGCATCGTCGAATAATTGCCTTCGAACGAAAAAAACCGCGACTCCGCTGACCGATCAATTGAATTTCCTTTTGCTTTCTTTCTGCGATTCGCCGGGGCTCGCGTGGAACAATTATTCAGACCACCGGGGCTTCTTTCCTTCATTTCAAGTACAGGATGTAAGCGAAGTCGAAAGTCTAACGGCGTAGGAAGAGGTCTGCCTGATAGAAAACAGATGGCCAAGTCCCGGGCCACATTGTTTGAGCCAGGCCGATAAGGCCACAGCGTATTTCCATTCCACCCCTTAAAAAGGACGTTGGGAAAGCGACGAGTCAAAGCAGGAATAGTTCCTTGCGAGCGTCCAAACGTGTAACAGCGAACACGTCGTATTTGGAAAATAAAGTCTGCAATATTTGCTGAGCCTTTAATGAAGTCATGTCTTACTCTTACAAGGATTTGTTGTATATGAAATTAGTTCTTGAAACCCATGAAATAAATAAATAAATAAATAAATAAATAAAAAAGAACTTTCGAAAGTTCATCGTGAAACAACGATTTTTTCATATGCAGATAGAGCTTTTTTTTTTAGAGAAATTATTGTTGTTTGGTAAAATAAATTTAGACGGCATCCAGAAAAAGTATTTGATTCGTTTTTCCTTATAGCCGCGTATAAGATATCGTCGTCTCGAGCAATAGTGGTGAACGAACGGGAAAGAAACATTCGCTCGTAAAAGAGGAGGTGACTTCATACGTAAGTAAGATTACAGCGGGGCGCGTTAATTAATGATCGAACAACGGGCCGAAGGAAACGCGGGTACTGATAGAGAGAGGTCACCACAGAGATACCCACCGCGACCATACGTATACACAAAGTGTAGTTCCGCGGACAGACCGATAAAGCGGTTTCGCTTCAGTGAGACTTTCCACGGCTCACTGCTGTTAACAGACTACAAAGTAAGGATACGCGAGAAAAAAACGTATACAGTTTCGTTTACTCTCGGTGCGAGGAAAGTGATGAATGCGGAACATTTGTAGTTCCTTGGCGCACCTTGAACGATACCTCCTTCTTTGGACGTCGTCCAATGTAAATTGCATCATGCGGCTCAGCAGATTAAACTATAATTAGACTTAGGATTTTCATTTAGAAAAATGAAATCCACGTTGCGCAACCATGAGCGTTAAACTGTTCATGCTTCGCACGCGTTCTCGATGTATCTGCAATCTGCGAACGCATCAAATCCGCGGTTTAGTTGTGACGGAACTGATACGTCGTCGAATCGCTGATCGAAAGGAGAACTCCAAAAGATTTCCTTTTCTTCTTTCGTCCTGTAAGAAAATTCGAAAACGCATAGTAGAGTGGGGGTGACTGCGTCCAACGATGCAAGCCTTTTAAGGGTACACAACTTGACAAAGACCCATAAAACGTAGAACGAAGGTCATACTGGCGATGGGGGAGGTCCGAGGACAACCGAAAGGTCTGGCCAAAGAGGCACTCTTGGTACAGCCGTCCTAGTATTGAGACGTTGTGAATAAATGCGATATTTGACGATTACCAAGTATTTTTGTTACGCCCACGAGTTTTATTTAAACCGTTCGCCACCCTCTTCATTTTATAGTTAGATTTCCGTTTAATCTTACAGTCCTGGTCTCTGCGAAAGAGCAGCCATAACCACAGTATTTTTGTACATAACATATTTTTAGATGAACTATCGCAACGTGGCGACAATCTCGTATCGCTCGGGACGCGATAAGCGCGAGGAACGTACGATTAGAAGTGAAATCAGTTTTGTTTTCAATTACCAGAGCGATTTATCCTAGCGATAATCCGCGACTCGGATCATCGAAGAAGCATGCCGGTTGGTTTCAGAAGGGACGCATTCCTCGAACGCGTTCCAATTTTCAGCTTTTCCGTTCCGCGAAAACGACTCGGCGTACCCGCGCGGTCATCGAAGACGCCACGTGATCCACCGATCGCGGCTTCGTCGTCGTCGCGGGTATCGATGACGACGGTGTTTCCACGTCGTCATCGTCGGAAATAGAACGAGCACCGAACGACGCGTCGTGCAATTCTGCGAATCCGTAATTTCCGACGGAAACAATGCCTGGTTCTTTAATTCCTCCGCGTCGATGTTCTCCGACGTAAAATTGGATTGTTTATCGTGGCACGAATCGGAAATTCCTGAAGGAACGGCGAGCTACCGGCCGAATTAGATTCTCGTCAAAGTATCGGAACGCGAGCGTTACTGAATAACAAACGGGGGTGTCCGAACACAGTCTCGATTGAATTATTGTTAGCCCATCCCTCATCCGTTCAACTCCGACTCTTTCGACTCCGTTGGAACAGACCGAAAGTTGATTCACGTTCTTAATACGTTTTAGCTTACCGAGTCACGTACGTACTACGATGCGTATTAATTATGAAACCCATGAACGGGCGCTCGTGTAACGTCGATACGATGTAACACGAGTTATGTGTCGAGAGCGAGCTGTAAAAAGGGTTCACCGAAACTCGTACTTATCTTACTACGAATTGGCTGTAACCAGTCAATTTCGAAATAGTTTGCGAGCCGTTTCTTATCGGCCCTCGAGATCAAGTCGACCCCGTGGTTCATCGATGGATGCGCAATCGGGCCGCTCCCCTGTCTCCAACACGCGACAGTGGTCGTCGCTCGATTCGAACGGCGGTACCCCCTTTTTTCTTCCGTTTTTTCATGAAGACGAAAAAGCACGCGAGGTCGCGCGGACTCGCGCATCGAAACCGTGCGTCGCGGTGGACGCGAGTACGCGAGTACTCGAGCTATCGATGATTCTCGCCCTGCAAGTTTCGTTCGACCCTTCGAAAGGATGACGCGGTGCTCGCGATTCGATTAATTGTTGCGTCGGAGGAATGAATCGCAAAAGCTGAGAGTGGGAGGAGATGCGAACGAGAGAGAAAATTGCGAATGAAGAGAGAGGAACTCTGTAGCGATAAGAAGAGAATATGATACTGCGAGTATGTGTATCCGCGAGGGGCTGGAGGGGGGATCGAGGGAAAGAATGGGCGAGAGCGCGTCTGGAGCCAGGCTGGCTGCACGAGAAGGGGCTCGACATCGCGTTTACAAATCGAATTTGATTAGGTGGGGACAGGCCTAAGCTTATAAGACACCAGAGCAACGGCGTTCGGTCTCAATAGTCGCAAAACTGTGATTGTGTCTTGTATACGAGAAAACCAGGCAACGACCTCTTGGAAACACAGCCAACTAGAAAACACCCCCAGTGGCAAGGCTAGAAGGATCCAGTTCCCCGGCGGAATCAGTGATATAATATCGGGTGGTAAAGGCGAATCAGCAAGAGTTACAGAGAGGAAGTCGTATTTCCCGACCTAGTGCCGTTGAACTTCTTCAGGGTTGCAACTCATTTGGCATTGTCAACGGGGAGACTTTTGCTTTCAGTAAGTGTCCGATACGTAAAACCGATGGACGGGGGTCGAGTAAATCTCCTAAAGCCGAATGTAATCGCGTTTATAGGACAGAATTTAGTTTTCTCGATTCGTCTAACGAGATTTCGATTGCGAATAGATCCGGCCGAAAGATCGTTCGCCGATTGAAATGATTGGAAACGGAAAGTTTCACGATCGACGCGTAGAACACTGGGTCAAGTGTAGAATGACGCGTAACGTTGACGAAATCAACTAAGCGCAATTTGTCTCGTGTCAAAAGTTAACTCGCGGCCGCAGTTTCTGTAAATACAATTTTGCGCGTCGAAGGGATCGGAGAGCTCGAAAGCGTTCCTCGCCACGTTTCTAGAAATATTTTGCACGCACAGGAGATATCGCGAGGAGCTGTTGTCCGGTCGTTCCCACAGGCTGCGACGATTCCCGCCTTTTATCTCACCAAGACGATCATCGAGTAGCGAGAGACAAAACGCGCGGGGAGACATGATTGTGAACGTAATTGCTTTAATTAGGATTTCGTGGAGAGGAGTTTTCGACGCTCGGGGAGGCAACGATAACCCCGTAAAAATCTTCCACTTACTCGCTAGTGCGATGGAATTCTGCACGGTCGATTGATTAATGGTCTCCTTGTATCCGATTCCGGTATCGCGCGTGTTCGACCTCAACGAAAACGCAACGAAAATAAATAGAAAGCGACGGAGGAAGAGGGAAACGCGCTAGAGAAAACAACACCGTGAATCGTTGATCGTAAGGGGTGGAGAAAACGCGGGTATCGAACGCGTGTATTCCACTTCCATTCACAGGATCGCTACTCATTCATCTTCCTACTCTCTCTCTCTGTCTCTCTCCTCTCGTTCCTTCGAGATCTCTCGTTCTAACTCTTTATTTTGAGAGATCGTTACACGCTGCGTCATAGCACCGAGCACTAAAATAAGATATCGTATTATTTGTTACCATAACACATTTATGGCAGTGTATCCTGCAGATGAATTAATTTGGAAATTCCTATTTACAAGCCGCATCTGCGACGGGAATAAAAATGGTATATGAAAACTGGTCTACAAGAGGCTGGCGTCGAGCATTTCTTCACGCGAATCGTTAGTTTTTTTCTTATCAAGGTCACCAAAACATCCGATAATCTTTGAAGTTATCTCGACCATGGATGCAGATGAACTCGATTAAATCGCGATTGCGCGACGTACCACGAATTGTTTGCTTTTATTCTCGTCGTAACGCGAAATTCGGTTCTCGTTAAAAACGAATTCGACAATTATTAATTCAGAATTTACAGACTGCAAGCTTCCTATATATCTCTCCAGTTCGTGTACCCTGTATTTCTTTTACACGGTTCAAAATCGACAAACGTTCTGTTAAAAAGTTAAAAGCATGAAACGAGAGAATGCATTAACAAGTTGGAGATACTCACCAGCCTCGGATCCTTTGGTCAACGTCCTTTTAATGATCGCAGTCTTATCGGTGTAGGCATCTGCGCCGGCCACTCGGTCGCACAGCCGTTGAAATTCCTCGAACGCGTCATCCCTCGACGGTTTCTCCACCTTCTCCGGGCTCTTCGACTCCGGTTCGGAGACGCGTTTTGGCTTTTTATTCGCGACAGGTTCTGTCTCTTTGCTCTTGCGTTTCTTAGAGCCGCTCGGTTCATTCTGCTTGTTAGTTTTACCGGTCTTGAACGGAGCTGAAAAAAAAAAACGCCTCTGCTATATCGGGTCGAGAGTTCCGATCTAAATTCGAGAACTCGTCAAAATCGCGTGCGGTATTAATTAATTTTAATCCTCGAATAAAAATATAAGCAATTTTTTTAATCCGTCGCTAAATGAATCTCTGAATTTCCTGAAATCGCGAGTAGCGAATCAGAGGATTAAGTTCCGCTGAATCGACATAAGACGAAGACGATACGTGAATTAGGTATCTCGACTAGTCACTCGATTTCAATGAGATATTCTCGAGAGCGCAACAATAATAATCGCTGGGACGGGAGACCAGTTTAATGGAACGTAAATCATTGACGAAGCGATCGCTCTAATAGGCGATAATGTTCAAAAGATGATTTATGGAACACAATTTGTACGCACATCCCCGGTTCAATTGAATCGGTAATTAAAACGCGTTCAGCGGTCGCGATAAGCAGACAGAGACGAACGCTGCCTCTTTGCACGACGTACATTACTCGAATTTTTCATTCGTCATTGCATCGGGACTCTCGAATTCTGTGAGACAAGCATCGAAGCCGATAGACACGGACATCGTTCTCTGGCGTCGAGATCACCACATGCTCGTTCAACGGTACTCGCATCTTTTATTCTTACCAATTGTATTGAAAATTGCGTTGTCAGTCGACGAGAGCTGAGTCATTGAAAAATTGTCGGAGACTTACACGCGTTTTCGAATTCTTCGATTTTCTGGAGGATCGTAGCCCTGTCCTCGTCGCACAGGTCGCTCCAGCCGCTGACGTCTTCCTCAGGGTCGTCTATTCTCTTGGTAGTGGCTCTCTGCTTGGCGAATACCTCGAACAGACAAGTGAGATGGTGCCACGCCTTCATCTTCCCGTCGCCGAACGGGTTCGACATGAGCTTCGCGATTCTTATCGCGTCCTTCTCGATCGGGCACTTGCACTTCTTGCATTTCGCACGCCCGGTCTTCGCTCTGTCCACCGCGAACGGCTTTTCCTCTTCCTTCTCTTCGTCCGACATCTCCGATGTCTCGCAACGGCGATCTAAAACCCAAAACGAAAAAGCGTTAGAAAATGCATATAAAAACTCAAACGCCTAAAAATCAACAGCCTCAGTCTAAGTAACTGCATTTTGTATAACGTCAGATTCCACCAGCGTCACGTCGTATAAATAAATAAGTATTTCATATACATTTAGATCGGATTGTACATATATAGATCGAACTCGTAACACGGGATGAAGTAGCGAAGAATAGAACGTGGGATAAGAATCTTGCAGCCATCAGTAGAAACGACGCGTGGCGCGGCAAGGAGAACAGGTAAGCGTTTACCAGACAAGTAGTCAGGATCAAACATCGGTCGGCCACGACGCAACAGCTAGACCGTCTGACTCGAACGGCAGATATGAATTCACACGTTCCGTCTGGTTCGACGGTGTTAAAAGCTCGATGACGCCTATTTCCTTTACGAATCTACGCCTAAACGATACGATTTATTAAGCAATAATTCGTTACGATGAAGTTGGTCGCACGATCGGAACGAACCGACGCGCGACTGATTCATTCGAAAAATTGTTTATTTCATGGTAAATTCTATTCGTGTCCCAAACGTATGTTGCTCGCTGCATCGACGATAATCCAGTGCGTACAATTCGTATCTATATCAATCCCGTATTATTCCACTTATGCAGCGAGAACAACATTCGCATAGGAGATAAATCTCGAACTGCGCCCGGCAATTATCGTCATAACATCGTTTCTAGCGAAGCCCTCAATCGAATTGCGTCATCACGCGAATTTCAGCTCCTTAACGAAAAAATATTCGACGTTCTACGAAATGCGCGACGTTCGCTACGTTCTACGCGCTCTATCCTTGCCCGAAACACAGAAGTTTCAGTATGGCAAATCGCGACTCTTCTCTCGGCACGCCATTTTACCGGGCGTGCGAAAGTCAAGGCGATAGAAAAAAAAAGCGAGGAATCGCGGCGATAAGAGATTGCTCGTTAATTGAGCGAGACTGATAAACGGCGAGGGGCTGTTGTCGTCGATCAGCGCGGCTATTGGTCGACGTCGAAACGGCCAGGCGGTACGAAAATACTGGCGAACGATCGGAAATCCGATTCTCCCTCTTTCTCGATTCGATCTCTCCGAATTCGACCTCTTAGAAGAACCGCAGACATGGACGACCGATGATATACTCGATTAGCCAACTTTTTAATTCCCTTCGATCGGTCCAGAAACATTTTGCTAAAACCTGCATGAATTATGAATATTTATGAAACTCGCATCCTGACGGAAACGCGAACACCTTCTGTTGATTTGTAATAATTTTCGGTAATCGCGAGATGAGGAGAAACGGCAAGGGTGGATAGGGGGTGAAGGAAAGGGAACGAGAATGGCACGTGCGTGGGCGGCAAAGGTAACCCTCGTGTCGACCTACAGGTAGTAGGAGGTTCGGCAAGGGTGCCGGGTGGTGGAGGACTCAGGGTATAATAGAGGGTGCAACAGCCCTCCGTGCTCACTCGACGAGCACGCATCGTACCGCCAGAAATCGACTCGCCGAGAAACCGTCCCGTGTCCCGTTGATTTTCAAAAACAGTCGCAGTGATTCTATCTCGTTTTCGTAGTGCTAGTTCCATCGTCTCTTCAAACCTTGAATCCTCGATCAGGCGAGTGTTTCAGAGACAAGGTAGGTTCGTTCGCTCCTTACACATTTTCTCATAGTGTTTCGCGTTGAAAATTTCTATTTCTAATAATAATAGTAGTAAAAAGGTAGATAAAAATAATAGAATAAAACATCCAAGTAATAATTTTTTATAGGAATATGATAATAATAATTTCTGATAAGAATAATTGGGTGAAACATCGAAGTAATAATTATTCATATTTCTTTATAATCATATTTTTCCACTATGATCGGTGCCAGTTTCTGTCTCGTTCCTTCCAGTTTGTTGGAAATTATTACGTTAACGTCATGCAACACAAGTACATGGAAGTTGTATTTAATTCGCGAATCGTTCGTTAATCATTTTGTTTACCGAGCCGATGAACGTAAGATGCAATAATGTTTAACTGAATTTACGAGCGTAGCCGTGAACCGCGGACCACCGCGAAATCAACAGGTCGAGGTACTCTTCGAATTTCAAATAACATAGTATCTTGAAATTGATTCCGTGAATGACCGACTTTTTTTTAATGTAAAACCGCCTTGAACGGTGGATTAAACGGCTAAACGTTGTGGGCGAAATCGCGTCGATCGCGCGGACCACGGAAAAGGTATTTCGGCTCGAACGATCGCGCATTAGCTCGTAATTTTTCCGCGAACAAAAAGACCCGATTCGAAGCTCATTGTTCACCGAATACACACTCCGTCGTGCTGTTCTTCTCCTATCGAGCAGCAAAAGAACGATCGTTTCCTACGAAAGGGGTCAACGGGGCGATGATTTTCGACGTGCGGTCGAACCTTTCTGCGGTTAAAATCTTACACGGCACTTTTGTTGCTGAGTAACAACGATAAAGATTCGTTCACTTGAAAGCGGAGGAGTAGCTGAATTTACTCTCCCTATATTAATTGTACGCCAGTCTCAGGAAAGAATATATAAATCTTCTTTCCTCAAAAATTGACAGACGTCTTACACGCATGCAGAATAAATCGATGACTCCCATTTGAAACGAATTGTTATTCATTGATTTTATTTACAAAAACTGTTGAATCAAACTTCATCTTTCAAGGACCTATACCATCGGATAAAGTATCGTTTCAAACGGTGTTTCATGAATTCATCCTGAATTTATTTTTTCGTTTTCAATAAAAGATTTCGTAATCTGAACTACATGTTTCTTTCAACGAATGCGCCTTATCGCTGTGTCAATTTGACGGATAATCTACGAATTGATATAAAAAAGTGAAGACGAACGATGGAGGGGCGCCGCTCGAAGTTTCTCGATCGGATTTTTATACAAGCGGCCCGAATTATGTAAAATTTAAAGTGTAATTAGCTAGCGATATTCGTCGGGTCGCCAGATAAGTTCCACCCGGTTGAATAAATTCACGCGCGCTGGTTCGGGTCATCGGGGATCATCCATCCCCTTCGCGCGATAAGAAACACGGATAAGATTACCGCGAGATCGCAAACAAGGATCGAAGTCGAACGAAATATAGATGCTCCCCGGATCACTGGCCAATCGCCGCTGGCCAATTTCACTCGTCTCTTCCGATCTTCCTAGTTCTTATCTTATCACGCCAACGCACGAAAACGAGCTGATTAATTTCACCGCCCGGTCGATTCAACTTTAAATGGAAGAGAAACATCGCCGCGAGGGCGGGAGACTTCCCTTCCCTTCGAAGATCGACCGACTGAAATACGTACTTAACTGAGAGATCCGCGAGTTACAGAAGATGTCAGTCGTTTCGTTTGTCTTTAAAAACGCATCTTCTCGTTAAGAGTACAAGTTCTCCTGCTTCTTCACTGAACAGAATTAGCTCCGAGAAAACGACACTCGTGTAATATGTAACATCAAAAATTGACTCTGAAACTTCTTAGCTCGCGCAATACAGAATCCTCTGTCGAACTATGCGACTCGTGGTATTATTCGTTAGTGACGAATTCGCTCTGCTTCACACACGTCGTACAGGGTTAATAGACGAGAGTAATATGATATAGAATTCCGTGAACGATGCCATGTGCAGTTATGCTTTGAACAATCAAGGATCCTGCCTCACTAATGCGTTCCTTTTTCCCAGGAATACACGTTCCCTGACGTCGACAACAGGGAGTTAATCATGCGAAGAGGCGTGTCTATTAGATTTGGAGAACTGAAAGTAAATAAGGTAAAGGAAGTAGTACTGGGACAAAACGAATTTTAGAACCAGTACTTGGACATAATAGATATGTATTTAACAATTTACTGTCCAAGTTTACAACTCCTTTTGAAACTTAATACGTAGAAGTGAGACAAGACGGCAGTGGCTGTCCAGGTTTAGCCCATCACTAATTAATCGCGCTGCAATACCTGGATAAATTCGGATCTGGTATAAAAGGCATTCAAACGTATGATATATTTTTCACAATAAATGATTTAGTGTATTTTCATAACTTTTCAACCCTTTCTCTTAATCCAACTCTTTCTCAATTCGCTTAGAGGCGTCATAATAATATTGTCCCAGTTCTGATTCCATACTTGTCCTACTACATCACTCGTTGAGATTAAATGTGTCCTACTACTGCGGTTGACAGCAATTTTTTTTTAATGCGATTATTTTAATACATATATTACAAAAGAAGGTTTTTTTTTCTTAAATATGACTATGAGATCCCAGCTATCTGCTAAGATGATAAGTTTTCATGTACTATGCTTAAATTTCGTAGTAAAAAAACATTATAAAAAATTTATGTTCAAAAGTGTCCAGGTACTATCTCCTTTATCTTAGCATGAAGGAGAAAGATAAACTATACGGCGTGTTATAATGATTCTATCTCGGTATTATGTCCGTTGTTTTAAAATCGTGTACACTTACTCGTGACTGGATAAGAAAAACTCGTGGCAGGTTCGGGCGGGGCGAAGCAACAAGTGGCGAGAACTTCTTTACAAGTTTTGGTAGCAAGGTCTTCAATTATTCTCTTATCGAGCGGCTGTGTCTTCTCTATTTTTTTCTCGAGGTCGGACCAAGTTTTGATACTTACGCAACGCGTCCATCAAAAAGTTTGCGAGAGACTTTCGGCCGCGCCGTACATACAAATTGTTCCAATGCTTGACCGGAACAAGCGATGATGGATGCGTAGAGCAAATATTACGATAAAGGGAGGATCGTTCTCGCGGTCGAACTCCGATTCATCTTAGTGTCGTTAACTCCTCAATGAAATCAGAAAGTTCGCCGGTTCTCGAGATACTTCTCATGCTATCGATCCGCAAAACTCGTAATTTTATTTAACCACGATCTCGATTTTGTTTTCAGCGATAAAGAGGATCGAGGGAATGACGGGAAGATTTAGCACGACGCGGACGGGTTCCTGTCTGTTGGCACTGTTTCTTGTGTCCTGCTGCCTCTCCAACGACAAGGTGTTCGTCGTTGGAGAGCCGGAGCCGGTCCCCGTCGAACTCTACAACAATAACTTGGTCAGGAGCGCAGCAGACATCGTAAGTTCAACATCCGTTTTACTTCTATACTGTGGATTTTATGCGGAGAAATCAAATACGTACAAAATATAAATAGCATTCTACATAAAAATCCGCAGTATTATTCATTCCCAATTGTCAATTCCTGTGAACTTATACAAATCGATTTCGATCGAAATTACTTTGAATCTCGTGCAGAAGAAATTCTGATATCGCAAGCTGTTCCTCCATTATCTCGATCGATCTCACAGTCCAACGAGGACCAATGGATTAATTTATGCCCATAAGAAATGTTTTGCATTCTACAGATTATGTTGAACAAACTGAGGCAGGTGGCAATGAAGGAGACAGAGGAGATAGAGGAACGCGAGAAAGATCTTTACGACGTGCAAGTAGTGATAAAGTCGCTGGAGACGAAATCCGAGCCGGTACCTCCAGAGCCAGACTACTCGGTCGAAGAGCTCCCGACGCCCAATGCCGTTATCGGTCAAAAGCGCAACGAGGTCAACTGTGAGTATGCTCATCGATATGTATCAGTCAAATTCAATGCTCGTTTCCCGATCGCAAATTGTGATTATCACGACTAGATGGTCTTTCATGCAAAACTTGTACGTCAATTCAAAAGATGATCTCTAAACTTTTCTCGCGTGGCAAGAATTGTTTCCATTGAACGCAGATAAGTTAAAATAAAATTCGTACGCTCGTATATGAGACGTATAATCGTCTGTGAGACCTACGATGTTCGAGCTCTTATCATCCACACGATTTTAATGCACATCCGAGGGAAAAGTCGAAAGTATTACGTCGGATTCATTTTCTGCCTCCATCGGATTAGCTCAGATCGTTGGCGAATTTCGTAACGGAATCTCGTCATCGAGTCTAAGCTCGTCCCTGGAAGTTTCGAAGGTGTGTTCTGATCCGTTTCGCACGTCCTCGCTCTCCGCGCCGTGTCTGTTCTTCCTTCGCGATTAACCGAGGAATACTCTGCTTCGGACGTGCCTCGACCGTCGATGAGGATAAAGAAGGTACGAGCGGAAATCCCTGTCCCACGCTGAATGAAACCTCTGTCATCTCGTTTGATCGTAATAATCGAGTTTACCGAAGAACTTTGCTTCATTTTCCGTTATATCGAATCCTACCTACCCTTGTATCAGAAAAGTAGCGTGATACCGTGGCGGCGAACTCGTTCGAATTCAATCTCGGGAAGATCGTCACCAGTCGTAAACCAATCGATTGCGCCAATTGACTTTTGATTCCGTTACGTCAGATTCTTTCGTTGCAAAACAAGTCGGCAATTATTACGCCTTTTAAACCCTCCGCGATCCGACTTGTGCCAATCTTTTGCTCGTTAACGTCGATTTAGAAATGCGGGTGGTGACGATGACATTTCGATTTTTTCGCTCTTCAGTGGTGACCTTGTGCCACTTCAAGATCTGCAACATGGGACGCAAGCGGCAGTTGCGGAAGTAAAGGACGGTGCAGGAGGAGAAGGTGCGCGGCCACGTCGAGAACGGTCGAGCCTCTTGCGCGGTGCACCCTCTGCCTCAAATATACGATGCGAAACCCGCGTGCAGACACGAACAAGGAGAAGAAAACGACGAGGAGAAGGACCGCCGATCTCCGAAACTCAAGAGGAATTATGAACGCTCCCCAGCTAGAACGTGATCCAGTTCCTTTCCGAGTATTCCAAACAGGTTTTATGTATTCACTTTCAAACCGCTGAACGAGCCGAGACATCCTCGCGCGACTCCTTTTGCTAATCCAGTTTGAATCGCTCTCGGGGAGGTGGAGATAATTTACGCGAATCTTTATTAAATATATACTTAGGTTCTACTTGTTCGTTGGAGAATGAGAGATGAGTATGCATGGGACTGTTATTCGTTCCGACTGGCTCGGGCGAATCTCGAGATGGATGACTGGCGATCGAACCACACGCGTTTCGCTCGTAGTATTGAACAGTATCACTTGATTACGTTATTCGATCGAGGACATTGCATTCATTGCTAAACCATCGATTTCTTTCTTTCTGATTTTGTTCTATCGGATTAAAATTAGAGATTCCGGCGCTCAGTGCCTACGAGCTACTCTAGGAACATGTTCAGAAGAAGAAACTTTATATCGTAATAGAATGATATTAGAAGTTGCATTACTAATAGTAGAAAAAGTATTCCGAGTTGTAAACCGGTTGAAAAATTGCACTTTTAGAATAAGGAGAGAACGAAGAAAAATGTAACATTCTCGAAGAGTGGAGTGTCCTCGACGAGCCATCGATAGAAATGGCGAATATAGGTATTTATTCGTTAGCTTTAAGTGAGAAGGGTGCAAAGGCCGAGGCTCAGATATTCTCGAATCTGTCTTTAGTGCGAAAACAAATCGAGGAGAAAAATCAAGTTTCCAAAATATGAGAACAGGAATGCGTGAAAATAAATTTGTGTCAACAATTGTTTCTTGTGTACAACGTGCGTCGTGCTAAAATGGGAACAGTAAACATTGTAATAAGCTGATTATGACTGTTTTCATACTCGTATACTTAAACTTAAAGTCATTATCCTTCCTATCCTGGAAATAAAACATGACGCGAGAGAAATAAAACCAGTCGATGTTGTTACGTTAAACAGGGAATATAAATGTTAAATTAAAAAATATGATGCGAAGAAATTGATTTTTCGAACGATAGTAGAGAGAAAGAAGACGAGACATGGAAAGAGTGGCCGCCTGCACCCTTCGGCAAATTATTTATAATTCGTTTCGTGACAAGAAACGTATCCCATTTTTATGTAGTGTCCTTACGTGAGCCCCTTTTTATTTATTTAACCCCTGCAGTAATTTCGTTATATTCGTAGTAGTTCCTATTCTTCTGAAAACGCATCATCGTTTAAGATGTCTTTTGTAAATGACTAGGGATAGTACCGATGATTTTCTACAAGTTATTTTTTATCGTTTATATCACTTAAAAAAAAAAAAAATAAACATTCTGATTATCGTCCTATCGTTTCACAAGAAAATTAAAAGACTATTATGCAACCGTTTAATTTAATCATGGCCAAAGTAGCGGGACTCTCGAAGCTGGATCGACAAAATAAATGTTCTTGTCGTGCGCTGCGCAAACTTTTCGACCAGAGTCAGAGTCAACAGCTTTTATCGATGGTGCGACGAAAGATGATAATTTATTTAGTTCGCATCATGATGACCCGCTAATGACAATGTAACACAGCGATAGTAACAATAAAAGCGTGTAATCGTGTAAGCAGTATAAACTCGTGTCTCAGCGAAATTGTTTCTGTTGTTTCATAGTAATAAGGATTTCTGGATTATTTGAAATAAACGACACATGAATAAACTATGGACTGTGTTGCGGTGGGCGGCTCTCTTTCCTGACTATTTAACGAGAATTAAAAGCGAAACTATTACGTCATCTTACGTATTCTAGTTGTAGTCAAACGAATCGAAAAATCGAATGAAGCGCGTGACGGTTCCCCGAAAATATGTACACGTGCTTTGGTCACGTGAGGAAACAAACGCGAGCATCGCACTAGTAAAGGTTCGCCTCGTTACGCGCCTAGACGCAATGATTATTGGTAATTCATTGACCTTAATTACTACTACGGATGAGAAATTCAAAGACCGATAATGTAATTGACAGTACACATGCACAATGTACATAACCTTAAGTCGTTGTTTAAGTCGCAATTACATTTTTAAATCCCTACCAGTGATAAACAGGCTCTTCGTACGATCTCGATTTGTACTCTTTCACAGCATCGATTCACTTACAACTTCTATAATGTCACAGATCTTGACATCTTGAAAAAACGCACTTTTACAATTACGCGGATATCACTGAATCTACAGAGAATTTATCATCGCCCTCTAGACGTTCTTCCTTTCATTATTCCGACATGTGTTTACATTCATTTTCAGAACATTCTGCCTGAGCAAAATAAATATAGGAAAAGAGGACGATAGGATTTGCGGTATTAAAAATAACAAACGTCTGAATTAAGCAATGATTCTTATTCACATATAAAATTTACATTCTTAAAAGTATTCATCGACTATTCAGTTTTATAAAATAGACACTCACAATACACGAATCCCATGTATGAAGCACGCAGATTTATAGACGAACTAGTATACTATTCGCATTATCACCTTCGCTTACGTTTCTCTGACTCTTCATACCTCTCCCTCGATCGATCTCTATTCCGTTTCTTTTTATGACTCGAATGCTTCTCCTTATGCTTCTCATGTCTTGTATCATCACTACTGATATTAGAGCCTGCTCTGTCGTATCTCTTCTTTTTACGCTTATGCTCTTTATCGCTCTCCCTTTTGTTTCTATCTCTTTCTTTGCTCTTATCTCGGTTCCGACCTCCGCTCCTGTCTCTGCTTCTTCGTCTTCTTTCCTTTCCCCGCCTAACATCGAATTCGTACCTCTCGCGCGAGCTTTCTTGACGCTTTTCTTCCTTAGACACATACTTTTCCCCGTTATGAGAACAGTCCGAGTTACCTCTGTCAACATCTTTCCGACGCTCGTGTTTCCTGTGATCCGGTACTTCCTCCATGTATCGGTTACCATTTTCTCTTCGACTTCTCGCGTCATCCTTGTTTCTAAATTCATCTTTTTTCTTTCGACGATTCTCGCTCGTCGTTTCATTACCCTTGTCATCGAAGTATTGAATACCTTTACCCTTACCCTTCCACCTCATCTTCGCTACCGATTGCGAGAAGTCCACATGTATACGGCGATCGTCGATCAGTACGTTGTCCATTTTAAAATAAGCCTCCTCGCAACTTTTGCGATCGCCGAATTCGATGAAAGCGTACTGCAACGAATCGCCCGTCTGCCGATCTCTGATCACTTCGCAACTGGAAAAGAAAGACCAATGTACGAATGTCTACTAGACGTTTATCTGTAGTAAGTGTAAGAAAATTCTTTATACCCAACGATCTTCCCAAATCTGCTGAAAATAATTTCAAGATCGTCGTCGGTCGTAACGGGATTCAATTTACAAACGAAGAGAACGTTCTCCGGTGGAGCCATTTCTGCATCTGGAATATCACCTACGATCTCCAGTATTGTAGCTCTCGCTTTCGCTTCTTTCTCCTTCTGCATTTCTACTATTTCTTCGGTTGTCATGCCAGCTGTATCGTCTATTACTTCGTCAGCGCCTATCCTATCGCTCTGGAAATACAATCGATCATTACAGCTGGAAATCTTGAAAACAGAAATTAAGAAAACATACCATTAGAGCTTCTCGAGTGGGCGGTGGACTCTGATCAGGTACAACAAAATTCTTTGGATCCTCGAAAGGATCTTCCAAGATGACCGTATGAGATATACGAATATCTTGGTATGGTCTGTGGTCCCCATCACAAATCGTTTCGTTTAGCTTAAGAACGATCTCTAGACCTTCTGCGATTTCGCCAAATACACAATGGTGTCCATCCAGCGACTGTAGTTCGGGCGCGAGGGTAATAAAGAATTGAGATCCCAACATATTGTTACCGCAATTTACCATAGAGAGCAAACCGCTTCTATCATGCTTTATTTTCGGCATCTGCTCTGCCTCGTAATATCTCGCTTTTTCACCTAACACTATTCCATACACGCTCTCTCCACCTTTTCCAGTCCCAGTCGGATCTCCGGTTTGAGCAATGAAATTGCTCTGAACGGAATGGAACAAATTCCAGTTGTAATACTTCAGCTTGCACAGCTTTAAAAAATTCCGACATGCTGTAAAATGAAATTCTCTGTGAATAAAACCCCTCTCGAGGTGTAATGCTAGTAACCAAACATAACCTCTCTACTCACTTTGCGGCCGTTCTTCGGTGTACAAATCGATAGTAAAATCTCCTATCGTAGTTTCTACCACAACCGCCATATTATTGTAATCTTTTTTACAATTATATACAATTACAAATATTCAATGATTAATTTCATCCTTATACTTATTATGTACACAACATTCCGATGCTTCTGCTTCTGTTACGACAATAGCGTCCATGATAAGATCGTGATGGCGTCTAATGTATAATCAGATTCTCTTTCAAAGGAAATGGCGCTTAATTAGAAAGGAAGACGCGTTTCGAATAATGTAGGAATTATCTTCGGTAAACGATGAATGAAAATCGTTTCAAAAATTTCTTTTTATTAACGATAACATATACACAGGGATCGAAGGAAAAATGAAATACAAGTAAAATGCAAATATCGTCGTATCTCACTATCGACTGATACTAATTTCTTTTTCGGGTGTAACATTTCGTAGATAAACTAATTGCTGATTATAAACATCAGGTACGAGAACATTTAAAACTATGTGCGTTATCGCTCCAGTGAACCCCCAAACCCGATATTTACCACCCAAATAAACCGGCAGGCTGTAACCATCGCGAAATTGCGTATATCGACACAAGGAGGGATCGCAAAGTTTTCTCAGACTGACGAAAAACGCTTCGCCCACTTCTTCCTTGTTGACGTTGAGTTTCTCCGGGTTAATCTCGCCGATGTAACCGAAGACGGGCAGGACTTTTATTTTCTGCTTGTCGATCATATTTCCCGCGGCCCAGACGTCGATTTTCGTTCGCGGAATTTTCAATTCCTCCCAGGTTTCGCGTAACGCGGTTTCTTCGAGGTTGCGATCTTCCTTGTCGTACATACCGCCGGGAAACGAGACTTGTCCGCGATTTGAATTTATTTTCGTCGATCTGAGGGTGTATAAGAACCCCAGCTCGCCCTGGTGCATGCAAAGCGGCACCAAAACGGATGCATGGCTCACGTTCTCCTGTATCTGCGTCGTTTTCGGACTCTTGAATTTCTCGACGAATGATTTACGATTTTTCTCGCTGAGGACTACTTCCGGTTTCAAGAGCTCGAGATGAACCGCGCTCAATCCTCGCTGGGGTTGTGACGACTTTTTTGTAAAGAAGAAACATCTTTTTAGTCCAATGTTACGGCGACAGCCGACCGTGTCGAAACACGGACATTTTAATCGTTTCCGCACATTGCATACTAAAAGGGGTGAGTTCAACATATCGATTCTGACATCTCTCTTAAATTTAATGCGGAACGAAAGTTCGTCTAGCTTGTTATATACGTTCAACGTGCTTAGGTTTTCGCTGCCATGATTAGAAAATAAGTGAACGGACATCCGCGAACATAATACCCTCTAACGTACGGACAGGGAATTAAAGAAAACGTACGTCGTGCGTCCACTTTCATGCGAGACAGGAATACTTACAAAACAACGCTGTAAATAGCGTAATGTCAGAGGATGCAGACTCATTGATGCGATCCGGAATGCTTCTCACGTTGTGTGATTAAATAAACGTAGGGCCAACGTATTTGAAATATCAGATGTCGATTATAATTCGTGAAGCTTGTCAAACAATATGTTCTACTGTCATGATGATCTAATCCACGGCTACTAGATGTCCGATCACTCGACTTTGGACGATACCCTTTTTTTCTCTTATAAATATGTAATGTAAAAATACGTATGTAATTCATTCACTGATTCATATAGAACGCATGAATCATGAATTAGCGTAGTCATNATATCTTAAAGTTTAATTAATAAAGAAATAGTTTAAGTGAAATTCATACGTCTCATTACTTACCTTCAACTCTACCCATATCCGATCCCTTCTCCATGTCATCTTCACTGAGTATAAGTAGAAATAAGATAGAATAGAAAATTAAGAAATTCTTGAAATCATGACGGCGTCAGGAGGACTTAGTGCCACCTCCTATTATTTCATGTTCGCCTAATAGAAAGTCCAATTTCGGATCAAAATTTTTTCTCTCGGAGAATTCTGGGAAATGACGTCATCAACAGGTGTTAGTGCCACCTCCTGTGTCATCATATTCTCCTAATACAAAGTCCAATTTTGGATCAAAATTGTTCCTTTCCGAGAATTCTTGGAAATGACGTCATCAGTAGGACTTAGTGCTACCTCCTATATCATCATATTCTCCTAATACAAAGTCTGAATTTTGTGCTAATTTTGTGCCCAAATCAGATTTTGTATTAGGAGAATATGATGACATAGGAGGTAACATTAAGCCCTACTGATAACGTCATTTCCAAGAATTCTCCGAGAGAAAAATTTTGATCGAAAATTGGACTTTGTATCAGGAGAATATGAGGACTTAGAAGGTAGCACAAAGTACATCTGATGACGTCATTTCCAAGAATTCTCGGGGATAGAGATTTTGATTGAAAATCGGACTTTGTATTAGGAGAACATGAAGACACAGGAGGTAGCACTAACTCCTGCTATTGCGCAATTTCCAAGAATTTCTCAGGGCTAAACTTAAGGTATACTTATACAACTAATTTAATAGTGATGAGGGCAATTATTTCGAGTTATACTTCTCGTTAAGGAATGGATGTTGGTCATTCTAGGAGTAGTGGATAGGTAATTAAGTACATAGTAAGATATGTATGTAACAAGATCTTTATTTCACTTATAAACAAGTTACAAAATACAAAAATCTGATATCAGTACCTTCTCACTTAAGACTAATTACAATGTGCATATAAAATACTTGCAACTGATTATGCACGTTGTCATAAGGTCCTGGTGATCGCCTTTTAACACTGAAGGAGTAGAACTCATCGACGAAGGTAAGCTTGGTAGAGTAACGTGATATTCCTGTTCTTAGTAAACCAATTTTAATGACCAGACACTGAAATTGAAGTCACCTGTGTCCAAGGAATATCCTTTGTAATATATCCAATTCGGGTCGCTAGAAGCAAAGAGACTAACAGTTTTATAAGATAGAATCATACAAGAGCAATATAGGTGCCAAGGGATACGAAATGAATTAAAAAATCCTTGAAAAGAAAATCCTTGTACAATTCACGGTACAATGTAGCCTTTCGGCAGAGGATATATACTTCGAGAATCGAAAATGGGAAAGGGAAACGTTCAACGTTTTACTACTTTTTATTTCGCCTACACTGTACATTCAACTTCGTAAAATAGGAAGTGTTTTAATCGAACGCTTTGCCTTGCGACCGCGCCGGTTGAAGTTATTGATAGGGCAAGTAATGGGGACTAGATAGTCTCCCATTAGCGTCGCGACGTGGTCTCGGTAATGTCATTAATTATCGGAATACATTACGTCCGCGATAACAAGAGCGCGTTTTGAGCTCGGCGAATGATCAAAAACTGTTATTTGTGCCACGAACGTGCCTCCGCGAACAAAACCCAGTATAAGAACGATACCCGGAATTACTAGAATAAAACATCGAATATGTGCAAACACTTTCGCTGTATCTCGCATTAATTTCCCTCGTTCAAATTTGAATACACCGTCGTAGTAACATAGTTCATGTTTCAAACAGTAAAACAAGGTTTTAATTAAAAACGTGTCGACTACCGATGGTAACAAGACGATAGAATGGATAATGAAAAATGTAGCCCACGACATCCGCGCTGACGCCGATGTTGAACGTTCCCATGGGAGTTATTCTCATTTTACATAGTTTGTTTGTTCCCATTTCGACTGGAGAATCTCTTCAAGGATTCCGTCGGTCTCCCAGGAGCCGTCGTCCAAGCACACGATTTTAAGACACGGGGGATGACGCAAGACGATGGAGTTTACCCGATTTAATCGACTCTCGTACACCACCGCACCTGTGGACGAAAGGGCGATAAGGGTTTCGAGTAGTTGTCAATCGCGTTATCGCATGCAGAGCCGATAGCGGAAGTGCCCTCGTCCAGCCTCGTTGCGCTGGTGGAAACCGTGCTGCAATGCAAACACTGTCTAGAGTGGTCATAGTGGCAGACCATAAATATGCCATATCGGCGTGCGATGATGCGTTTCTCTATCAATCGCGTATCTCATTATCTCCCCGAGTACATTATCTTCGCGCCTGTCGCTATCCGGCTAAAAGCTAATATCGCTTCCTATTTTCTGTTTTTTCATTTCGTCAATGGAAATCAACGATATGGGACGCGAACGCAAGCGGGCGTAAAGAAATTAATTGCTCATTACGAAACCGAATGGAATTGAAGTTTTAACACCGACGTTTGCTTTACGGCACGTGGCGAACGTTTTCAATCGGCGTAAAACGCAGAGCAACGACTATTCCTTGGACTTTAATCGATAGTAGATTCTATCACTCCCGCAGGACTCGATTCGAAAGCGTCCATGAACGGGTGGCAAAAGGGAGAAACGAGGAAGCGGTCTCAAAAGACAAAAGAATGATTGATCGATTCGATTTGTCGTTGATGGAAGACGATACTCTGGCAACTGTAACCGAAATTGGCTTCATCGCCTACTCGTGGCAAAGGGGGTAGCATCGTGTCTGTACTGGTACCACAGAAGCACGTATGCACAAACGAGACGCCGAGAGAAAGGAGGACATTGATAGACAAATCTTTGTCTCGTCGTTTCGTATGATCGAGAGAGGTTTGAAATAAGGAGAGAATTCTCGTTACCCCCACGTCCTATTAAGGTTGTATGAGCCGTAAGATCCCTGCCAAAAGTTTTCAAAAAAATTGCATTCATATTTTTCATAAATAAAATAAAAATTCTGTTATTCGATAAAAGAATTCAAGATTTAATAACTTTTCTAATAGACTTGCAAAATTACAAAAACTCTATACAGTGTTTTATTAATGTAATATCTAGTAACTGTTAAAATTTCAATACTTTGTCACTGTTTTTATGTAAGGGTTCATACAACCTTAGCGTTACGCGACGTCTCTTTGAGAGGTAGACGAGGTGTCCTTCGCCTCCGTGCGAATCTCGAAAATCCCGAAGAAAGTTGAGGCGCGACGACGACGCGATCGAGATATTTCGGCCGCGACAAAATCGGCGCCCGTCGAGCCGTTCTCACGAATCGTAAACCGTTAATGAGACGTCGATAATTATAATTTTAATCCTACGCTGCCTACGCACCGCGCGCTGCACACGCACCTGTCCCTGTGGTGGCATTCACGGCCGGCGGTAATTATTTTCTGCACCAGATACGCGAGGCGAGATCGATCGCGACAACCGCGTGCCATTTTTTCTCCGTTGACGAACACCACGGTGAGTAATTGCGACCAGAACGGCGAGAAGAAAACGAATTTTCATGTAAACAAATAGAATCAACTGTTTCAATTGAAACAGCAAAGTGAAATCATGCGAGTCTTGCGAGCCACATCGTAAATACGAAATCGTTAAAAGTAATCGTTACAGATCCCGAGAGTCTCGGCTACCCGCGCGCATAGAACTCTAACTTTACTAACGGGTAGAACCCTCTTTGTTAAATAAATAATAGTAATTAATACAATTCTGTGCACTAGAATAATAAAAAATAAAATAATACATCGGAATAATAACAGTAATAAGATAAATAAGATAAAATATCGAAGTAATAATAATAATAGTAATAACAGAACCAACTTTATGTCCGAGAACGACTTTACGTATAGAACTAGCAAACAAACATTGTGATGATTCTTATACAATTAAATAATAAATGAAATACCTTGGAGATCCTTTTATCGCTCCTCGAAGGATACGCGATACCTTTCCTTCTTTATCTATTTTAATGGATACACCGATGAAAAATTGGATTTCTCCAATTTGAAGCGTATGCCCGAAAAAGGGGATGCAAGGGGAGTAATCAGTAATCGGGCGAAGCACGCACGGTTCGATGGGCCGCGCCGCGTAATAGATTTCGGAGCGATGCGATGGTTCAGCGCGTGCGTCCTTCGACCGCTTCGCCCCGCGCGCACGGACTGCTTACCCTCTATATATTTCGAGGAAGCACGAGGTGGACCGGTACACGATACTCGATTTTCGGCGCGAAAGCACTCGTACGCTCCCTCAGTTTCGAATCCCGAACGCCAAACGACGCGGTCAATTTTCTTCGACTGACGAACATCGAATCGACTCGATGAAGTGCCACGCTACCGTGTCCATCCTCGTCCTCTCTGCTCTGATCGGGGCGGTCGTTCAGGTAACAGCCGTGCCCGCTTCTCAGGTAATTCGTTTCTCTTCTTCCAGTTCCGATCGACGACCGTTCGATTCATCGGCTGCTCGCGAAATCACAGGACGATCGGACGCTCGTTGAACGGGACTCCCTGTCACTCGTTTCCGCTTCACGCTGGACTCTCTAATTAACAAGAATCGCGATCAGGCGGCGCGCCAATTAAACGAAGGTTAAAAAGAATTTCGATCGAAGCCACGCGCTGAAAACGCGACGACCTTCGCGATACCGCACGCTTACGTGTCGCTAGAAACTTTCTTCGAACTCGTGATCGCCGAAGCGATTGTTCAAATCAAAATTGCGAACGAGTTCCCACGTGTACACAACTTTTCTCATGCATACTGATCGACCGTCCACTAGGACCGGGTTTCAGGGAGCAAACCGCGAGCTGCAGGAATGGGGCTCGGACGTCTGAAGTTAATTCGGATTCACACGGACCGCGAATTTACTCGAAACGAATAACGCGTCGCATCTTTTTTCTTTTTCCCCGTAAAATGAAACATCGGCACCGGGTCACGTATTCCCTCCCACGCGATAGCTCGTAACGCGCGTTATGGGGTACGTGCTGAACGCATGTGTAAAATGAAAAAGATCGGAACGCGCGATGGCGATATATCACGGCTGACTCGGTGCAGCAGAGAATCTATGCGTGGGCAATACAGATAGAACGAAATTTTAATAAACATATGAAAATGTTCTGCAGACGGGAACGAATGCATTACGCAGAGATTTCTACGGGCCGGAGGTGTTAGAAGCGTTCCTCGTCGATCATGGTAAGTGAAACTTTTTCGGCACTCGAAACGACTCTATGGCCGGCATTCAGAATCGTTGCTGATTCTTAAGATCGTCTTAAGCATTTGCTATCCCTGTCTATCCCATATTTCCAATCCCTGTTTTGTACAGGAAACAGGATCTTAAATATAAGTAACGACTCTGAATACCGGCCTGTATACATGTTCTCCTGCATATGCATTTAACACTATTTCTACCAAGCGGTGTCAAAAGACAACGTTTGAAATTACCGCATAAAATTATTGTCATTAGTTCAATCGTTTTTCCTTGATTTAATTAATTAATTTAACAACCAGTTTAACCGTAATTAGTTTAACAACCAGTATAGAAAAAGTCAAAAATTTAATTGAGGAAAAAGTATTTAATTAATAATAATAATTTTAAGCAAAAATTTGATACCAGGAGAAATAGTGTTGAACAATTTACGCTTCTTCAAAAATACGTCAGCTGCAACCTTTTATTCCTGTTTACATTCTGCAAAAAGTTTGTCGTTCGTGACAGTCGAAATGTTTGTGATCGTCCTGCGAGAGCGTGAACTCGCATAATGGCTTTGGTGGTGGAATATATACCGGTTTTGGAAGATCCAGATAAAAGGTGAAGGGTTAAAGGGTGTTCGTGATAGTCCATAACGAGGAAATGAGTCGACGGGTACAGCTTGCGAAAAATTATAGGACGACAGCCATCTCAAACGATGAACGAAGCTGCCGTTAGTAGCGAAGGTGCGCGACTGGTCGGACCACCGAACAGCCGATACTCGGCAGACTCGGGAATCAACGATCGCTTCCTGCGAAATCTCGATCAGATAGGAGGCGGCAACCTGTTGCGAAGAGAGATACCTAAATGGAGCAGCGGGAACCTCGATCAGATCGGTGGCGGGAATTTACTGCGCGAGGTACCGCGAGAACATGGATCGGACCGTGGCGAACGGAACTTGGACCAGATCGGAGGCGGAAACCTGATTCGTAGCTTGATCGACCTCCGCAGGAACTTGGATCAGATCGGGGGTGGAAACTTGGTGCGCAGCTTCGGTGGTTCTCTGACTCGGGAAATGGAACCGTCGGCCGAGAAGCGCAACGATTGACGAAGAGAATTCGTAGAGACGCGTAGGGAATGTATTTGGTGTAGCTCGTAGATCGTTCGTATTTTTAATAAAGACTAGCGTACAGACTTATTACACCAGAATACTTTCTTCCGTTCACCCTCTATCCTTCCGTCTCATCATTTCCAAGTTCTTGTTAAACCGTGAGCGTTCGTCTGTCTCGTTTTAAGATGCAAGAGCTCCGCGCGATCAAGAACTATTGGACGATGACCAGCCGAGACGAATCCGACCTTGGTCCAGCCAAATTCGTCCCGGATCGACGGTATTCTCGGTCGACGAAGTGAACGAACTGTCTCCGATTAGGTAAAATACGTCCGCCTATTCTGATTATTCCGATTATCGCATTCCTAAAAATTTGTTCTTTGCAAGGATTATCGCATTTTCCTATACTGGTTGTTAAATTATGTTCGCAACAGGTCGACCAGGCTTCTACTGGGCGACCGGACGCTGCTCGAGCAATTCCCGAAACGTAACATCGACGAGATCGATCGGACGGCTTTCGACAATTTTTTCAAACGGAACTTAGGCGAGATAGATCGCGTTGGGTGGAACGGGTTTATCAAGAAACTATCGGATCACCTGGCCGCTGGTAGAATGGGCATCCTCGAAAGGCGTGGCTGACGGACTCGAGATCAGGGAAGAAACAAAATCATCAATTTCACGTCCCATCTTCCTTCCTCTCTCAAAAACCTTCTCTATTTTAATTTTCCTTAAAAAATTTGATTCTGAAATATCGAAAGTCGGGCAACTACGAAGAAGGGAACGAGATAAATTTTATTTCCGGCTATGATTCGCGCTTCGATTCTCCCGCAGGAGTCGGCGGTTGGTTGACTTCGTCCAGAAGACGGACTTCCGGTGTCGTGGCGATTCGCCCACGACCGTCAACCGCTCTTCGCGTGGCCGCGTCTCGCGGGTTACACGCGGAGAATTTCGTTAAAGGATTTCGTGGACCGTCCCTCGCGCGTTCCCGCCTCGAATCGTCCGGCCTCTCGACCTCCTGTTCCGGATTCTCGGATTTCCTCCTCTCGTACGCCGCCACGATCTTCTCGACCTCCTCGCTCACGTTCATCGGCGTCTCGACCCTCACGCTCTCCCTGTCGCGATCCATGCGCACCAGCTGACAAAATTCGTGAGCTCGCTTCGATTCCGCTATACGATCCTTCGCTCCATACCGTAGAAAATCTGTACGCTTACCTCGATCACGTTTTCCTCGAGGTTAGCGAATCTTTGTAACATCGCATCTAGCTTTGCGTTCCGCACGGTCAACCGTTCAGTGATTCGCAGTTCTTTCCCTATGTCTTCTTCGATCTTCGATCGAGTTCCGAGCGATTCGCGGAATTGAAAATATTTTATCTGTAGCTATTCTGTTTTACGTACCTCGTCCATCCCTTTGGAGACTTGTTCGCTGATATAACCAAGGTTCTCGCGCGCCCGACGGACCTGCTGACACACACAGACATAGACACGCCGTTCGCGTGAATATTTAATGAAACCGATCGTTCGTTAATCGCGTATACGTTACGATCGTGGCGTATTCCCTCATCTCGGTAATGATCTTGCGTCTCAGTCTCGTCGCCGCTAGAAACTAAATACCCAGCATGTATCTCTCTGTCGTCCCTTCCCGAAAATTTGTCGCAACGAAAGATATGTAGCTTACGCGGTGGCACACGTAGAGCAAGATCACCATGTTGGCGAACATCGGGATCGAGCTACCGAGCAACTGTTGCACCAGATGCATCACTGCGTGATCGTTACCGCGGTATCGTTTAACGAATGGCGAGCGCCGCGAAAATCCCCTTCTTTCTCATCATCGTTGTTCATCGACGCGACGAGATGTCAGTCTATCTGAAGTTGATCGACAAAACAAAACCTGGTCGACTCTCGTTTCTTATTATTTACGCATCGATTCACGTCGGCAAACGTTCGTTTCTTCGAGTGGAGGTCGCTCATTTATTTATTATTATTTACAGGTGAAAGATTCTATCTGTCCTTCCTCAAGCGCGACGAGCTCGGAGCTTTCTTTTTTCTGCTAATTACCTACACGGGCTCATCGATTTTACAATCTCGATTCTTATCACGGGTAACTCGTGTGACTTATGGCTTGCGCGCAATCCGATTCTTTTATTACGACCACCGCATTTACTTTTTACGATTTCTTAGTTCTTATGCCATTGATGTGATGTACCTATTTATCGAGATACAAATAAAACGAACAAACTGACTTCGCGCGTGAATTTCCTTTACGCCTTGCCTATACGATTACACATTCTTTGTATAATAAATGTACGTATATGGTGTCTTAATGACCGAGCGTGTCCAGCGTTAAAAAATAGATATTCCCTCGCGCGATACGTTTTACAACGTACACAAGATATTTATAAAATGTATGTACACCGTCATATATCCTTCAATATACATACATATATACGTATAAGTACATGTTTACACGATTTTTTATTGTCAACGCTACAGAATTGCATTGATCAAGTCCATTCGTTTAATTAGTAATTATGTACGACTCATGCCGGAAATTACGAATCGATCACAAATGCATCTTTTCATTGTCGTCGCACTTTACACGGAAATCGTTCAAATGCACGACGTACGTATTTCGATTCTTAATTTCATTTATTCAACTGTTTGCAGATGGCTAAACAAGTTAGAGATTTATCGATCTTTGATCAAGCCAAGGTTGTACATTTCAACGAGAATAAAGTCATTATCGAAGTTGCGTAGATATTATAGAAATGAAAATAATAAGAGTACAATTTTATTTTCATCGCCCATCCAAGTTTTCTCGTCGATTATTCGTAAATTACTTGCTTACCTTTACCAAACTGTCCAACAACGACCTGATACTCCGGTGTTTTCGTTAATCCGGCACGGAATCGGCATCGGATTAAGGGGATTCCACTGTAGAAACATAACGCTGCTCAGATTGTCGTGTAAAGCGGTTTAAAAATGGCGGTGCGATGTCCAGGCCGCAGGCCCAACACCCGTCGACGAAGCCCTGCTTTCGGGTGGATACGCGAATGACGCAAACGTACCGCGGTACTCCATACTCCGTAAGCTCTCGTAAACTCGTACTCGTAGCGTAGCGCCACTGACAGCGGTGTGAGTTCGCGCACGATTGTTTCGGTTCGGTTCGGGTGCAGCGCTAACCCAACAACCAACAACCACTGTGTGACCATCAATTCCGCCCGTAGGATCGCCAAAAATATGCAAAAATATGAGAAACTCGAGAAAATAGGAGAAGGTAAGTACCTCTCCTTTTCCAAAGCCTCCCCAGCTCTGATCGTTTCACGAGGAGATCCCTCACGCACTTGCCACCCCTTCTACGAAAACGCGTATCACCCCTGTACACATACGCTTTCGTCTGCTCCGACGTACGCACTGAACGATGTTTCTTCCAATACGTTCCAGGCACTTATGGGACTGTTTTCAAAGCCAAAAACCGCGAGACTCACGAAATCGTCGCTTTAAAGAGAGTTCGATTGGATGACGACGACGAAGTAAGTTTGCGACGTCCACTTTTCGAATTCCTCCGGTTACTTTTCACTCACCCCATCACGATTCGTCTCTCTCTCTCTCTCTCTCGCGTAGGGTGTACCGTCGTCCGCGCTCAGGGAAATTTGTTTGTTGAAAGAATTGAAGCACAAGAATATAGTGAGGTTGTACGACGTGTTGCACAGTGACAAAAAATTGACGTTGGTGTTTGAACATTGCGAGCAAGACTTGAAAAAATATGTAGACAGTCTGAGCGGGGAGATCGACGCAGACGTTGTTAAGTCTTTCCTGTAAGTGTTCCATAAATATTAGCTTCGGATCGAAGTATGACATCGTGCGGGTTTGTGCATTCTCGATTTTCTCCAGGTATCAATTGTTGCGCGGATTGGCGTTCTGTCACAGCAGAAATGTTCTGCATAGAGACCTCAAGCCCCAGAACTTGCTCATTAATAAGGTACGCCTCCGTCGCGATAGAGAATCTAAGAACGTTGAAAATCTACTCGTTTATTCTAGAACGGGGAGTTGAAATTGGCCGATTTCGGACTGGCAAGAGCCTTTGGAATTCCTGTGAAATGTTATTCCGCGGAAGTTGTAACGCTCTGGTACCGTCCACCGGACGTTCTCTTCGGCGCAAAACTGTACACAACGTCCATCGACATGTGGAGCGCCGGTTGCATATTCGCTGGCAAGTCTTAGTCTTCCGGACACGTAAAATCGTTCTCAGAAAAGAATTAATTTCTTGTGAAATCATGCAGAACTAGCGAACGCCGGTAGACCGCTGTTTCCCGGTTCGGACGTGGACGATCAACTGAGGAGAATATTCAAATTGCTCGGTACGCCGACTGAGGAGACTTGGCCAGACTTCACCACTCTCCCGGACTATAAACCGTTTCTCTATCATCCTCCTCAAGGACTGGCTCAAGTCACGCCGAAACTCAATTCTAAAGGCAGAGATTTGTTGCAGGTAAATAGTTAGAGTGCCAAGTTTTTCTTCGTCGAGCTTTGTGTCGAGTTATTTTTCTATCTGTCCAGAGGTTACTGGTGTGCAATCCGGCGTTACGGATATCGGCGGACGAAGCAATGGCGCATCCCTACTTCAACGATTTAAACCCTGCCATCAAGAACGATCGTTGTCAGTAGTGTTCTTAAAGCGTTGTACCGTGGGTAGCGCAGGAAACAAAATCACGCCGGCAAAGATCGTTTGTTAATATATATATATAGTATATTATTACTACTGTAAGTGTATATTTCGCACTCGACGCGTCACGTCGATCGTCGCGACGGTGGTCCTGTTTTATAAGAATGTCCAAGAAAAAAATCAATAAATTGTCAATTTTATCAGTGACGACAATTTTCTATCGGAAGCGAGACGAAGTGCGCAATGTATCTATTTCGCATTTGTAATCCACTGTACAAACTGTCGCCAAAGTTTTTCGTACATGTATACATATTATAGACACAAGTCGAACGTTCACACACATATGTATATGTCAGAAACACGTGTCGAACACATCGCGTCCAGCCGTTCTTACGTCTACCTATTTCGTACTATTCGTTCGCTCGTAAACTCTTCTGTATATTTATTAATTTATTGTTTCAGTATTTTTATTTGTCATTTACAAAATAACTTATAGAACTATTATTAAATACATTTCTTAAATATATGAATGGAATACTTAATTGTACCTTTACATCGCGTCGAAGTGAAACCTGTGTGCTTCCTGAAGCCTCTCGATCTTATCCTCCCTTCGCTCCTTCCAGTAGAGAGCGACGATGATTAAAGAGATCAAGCCGCAGGTGCCGGTCAACGCAGCCGCGCTCAACAAAATTAATTTGCTAGGAGTGACGAATAACTGGGCTTTCCATCGCCAAGGCTCAGCTATTGGATTTGGGATCACCACCATCTGGGAGTTGGGAATGATTTGCGGCCATTCCCGAGATTTTCCACCGACCTATCGAACAGCGATACGATCGCGTCAAACATTTGAACGTTCTGAAATATAAAAAAAATTCTCCACAAAAAAATTGCAGTCTTACCCCGATGGTGAGACCATCAACGAAATTAGGTGTCCTGCCTAAACCGAACGTCGTGTACGGCAAGTTTAAAGAGAAATGCGCGCTCTGTGGTAACTGAGCTGCGATCGCGTTTCGGGGACTGCCATCCTGCGTGGTAGTCCGGTATGCTATCGATGGACCAGGAAGATTAGTTCCGTAGGTTCTCTTCTTCTTTCCAAGCGAGCCCGGAGAGATCGGGTACATGCTGTTATTCCGGCCCGTCAGTACCATCACCTTCACGAAGTTCGCGTCGTAATCTAAGCTGTTCTTGAATGCCGCCGTGCGATAGCTGTTATTGGTTTTATCCACTTCTACCAGAATCACGTCCAGAATACCGTCTTGGTAGAAATCGTAAAACACCGCCATCGCGGTTTCGTTGTGGAAAGGATTCAGCGCTTGCCATTTCACCTCGAATTTCCGAGTGAATCCAGCGCACGTATGGCACGCGACGTTCGCCAGTAGGTAAGATCGTTTCTGTTTACCGCTGGTCGACCTCAGCGTGGCCAGTATATCTGGGTAACCGTCCATATTAAAATCGCCACCGCGCAGAGTGATGGTGTCGGTGTATCGTTGCCCGTCGGGCTGAACGAAACCCCAGAGCACGTTGTCACTATCTCGGAAGTTCACCTGCAAGTTATACCATTTATCGGAGTACATCATGATTGTACTGTTGGTGCACGCGGCGTCGAAACAGAGGGGCAGCAACAGGTTCATCTTGCCCGTCAGCTCCACGTCCAAGTAGAGAGCCTGACCGATCACGGTATTGCTTCCCTTGGAGAAGTTATAGGGGAATTGTATGGTGCGTTCAAACTGGAATCCATGTTCGTTGCCGAGCCAAATCTCGAAGTAGTGATTCGTGGTGACAACCAAATCGGCCACGAAGTCGTTGTTCAAATCGAGATAAGCGTTCGAATGAGGTTGACTGATCTTCGGCAGCGAATATTCTCGCGGTATTTTCATCGGTATCTTGGTCACCATCCTGGTTTGATTGAACACCCAAAAGGTCCTCTGATTCTCCTCGTCCAAACCGAACAGATCTATTATCATGTCCCCGTTGTAATCGAGAGCCAACGGCTGTCCTGTCATGTTTATTAACGGACGATCTTCGTTCGTGCAATTCAACTGGCCGTTTCCACCCCACAAGATGTAACCATGGAACAACCTCGTGTTCTTGTTAAACGTGATTACCAGAACATCCATGAATACGTCTCCATCGAAGTCTCCGGGTACCACGCTGACGACGATGTTGCGGAACGTGCAACTGAGATTGGAACTCGGCCTAAGAAGGGGTTCCTGATCCGCAGCCAAGAAGATCTCGACGGTGGTACCATTCTTACGTAGCATGAACACGTCGGTCAGCTCGTCGGAATTGAAGTCGCCGAAAGCGGCTGGCATTCCGTCGAGCACGTTCCCGAAGACTGCTAGAGTAATGTCGCTGCATCGTACCGTGACCACGCCAGCGATTAGCGCGATTATTAATTCTATCCGCATCGTGCTCGTTGTCGCTTATCTGAAACGAAATATTCAAATTTTTGTTTGATGAATAGCCATCGCGATGCCAATGTCGCTTGCTTTAACTCGAGGAGCTAAAAATCGTGTCGTCAAACCGATTCACAAACCATGCAATCCGCAAGAATTATTACGAATATATTACAACAAAATTACAAATAACTAGTATAGAAATTTGCGGTCATATCTTCTTTCCCTTATCGAGTACAATAAGAAATTAAACAATCCCATGACTCATGCTAGAATGATGTAAATATAATTCGTAGAATTTAACCTCTACCGTTATATCTACGACTAATCGAATCCAGCACGATCACACATGCAGAATAAACATGTTACGTTCAAATTAAATTTACTCGGAACCAACAGCATTTTCAATTAACAATTGCAATGAAATGCGTCACATACAAATGTAAACGGAACGCGAACATACCTGACACAATTTTCTATCATTTTGCTTTGACAGCTGTTCCACGACTGTAGCGCTAGAAACAACTTCGACTGACTCCGACTCCGACTTGCGCGTGTCTCGAGTCTCGAATGTCTCGATCCCGGTCTCTTGTTCAAGTAAGAGTAAGAGTGTAAGAGCCAAATAAACGATTTCCATTGCCTAGTGCCCAGCTAGCTTTTGAAGAGGGAGTAACGAACACGAGTCTGACTCTGACGCACTCGTTTTGATTGTTTACTGTCCACGTGAAGATGAAAGACGTAGCTGTCTTCGCTCTGCTCATATGTTACTTGATCAACAATGGTATCGCGTACGACGACCTCGACGATGATTATTTCAGAGGTGAACTTTCAAATTAATCCGATACCTACGGTTTATTGCCACTTCAATCACTATTCTCACCTGTTATCTCGAGTTTCTTAACCGCTCACCGAAAACGTCCACGGTGGCAGACGTTTAGAAACAGTATTCTATCTCTAATTGTTTTCGTTTCATAAATAAGTATTTTCTAAATCCGATAGAAGTCCGTAATCTGTGATCGGAATTTTACAGAGTACGTACGTAACTTAATTCAGAAGCACACATACACTGATGTCCTACGTCGGGATGTCTACGAGGGATTGGAAAGTTGGACCGGTCGATGGATGCCCGATAGGCTCAACGACCCGACTCCACCGCCCAAAGTATTCCCGAAAACCGAAAACGCTAAAGATCAGGGATCGATGCATGACATTCATGGAATAGCGATGGGACATCCATCTGTTAACTGCGATGACGCGAAGGTATCTGTTCAATGATTTGCATATAATATTAATCATCAGCACTCGACGATCGATGCATCACGTTTGCTATTCTTCTAGACAAATCTAACCATGGATTGGGATGGCGACCCTATTGATTATATCTGCTACAATCAAAGAATCACCCCTAGTAGAGATAAAATAGCCATCAAGTATTGTGAACATATTTCTGAACATTATGTCGTAAGTATTTGACTCTGGTATAAAGGCTTAAAACACAGGGTGTGAACTATCAAATCCTTTACAGGCTATGCACAAATGCATGTACGAAAAAATAGAATACAGTGACAGTATTCCAGTATTGTAAGTATGTCTGTCATATTGGAATGTTAACAAGAAACTTGTATGATTGCACACTGATGATATTAGTCATTCGCTGTCTTTAGTGGAACACATAGACCTCTATGGCCCGTCTATGGCGAATACCAATTTCTACCCAAGCAGAGATGGCTACACAGTCTCGAGGTAATCAAAAAAATACCAAATAAATCCGATCATCACTCAACAACTTATTAATTCTTCTCTTTTAATCCCCCAGCACGGAGCTATCGTCATGTTGTACCATCCATGCGCGAATCCATTGGAAGTGAATAGTTTGAAAACTTTGCTCAGAGGTTGCTTGCGGCGGCATATTATAAGTCCTTACAACATGTTGGACGAACATCGTGTGAGTGATCAATTGATCTAAGAATCCAATGTTACCTCTGCGATTAGATACTGAATTGAACGATCGACGTTTCAGCCGCTAGCATTAGTCGCCTGGGGATGTCGGCTGACGATGTCGTACGTGGATCCTAAAGTGGTGATCGAATTTATTCGCGACCACGCTCTTAGAGGACCGGAGAACATATCGAGGGACGGCGACTTTTCCGACGGTTTGCTTCATCAAGCGAATATCGTGACGGATTTCGAAGACTCTGTCCTCTGTCCACGCATCGATGTTTAACGTCGCTTAAAACTCGCGTCTGAATACGCATGTATATACCTATACTTGAACCTTTACTATTTATTTATTATTTACGTTTTTTCCACGATCTCTTTCTCTGTCCCTTTCCCGTCTTATCCGTTTGCTGCTCGCTTCATTGTACGAAACCAACATTAAATGACTTAATAAAAAGAGATCGAGCAACACGAATTGTTCTTGTTCAATCGGAAGTGTTTTTCCGTTCCTTTATTTTTTACAGCACGCGCGTCGTAGCATCGAAGAAGCGCGAGGGGCAAGGAGACTGAATGAACGGGTAAACGCGCAACATTCACTCTCGTTACATATTGTTGTATATTGTTCATCTTTCGAGAGAGAAGATCAATTAGTTAAATACATTGAACATCGTGTCGGTTTTGGTTTCTTTTCATAAATTTCATTGCGAACCTTCTTTGCTTTTATCTACAGACGTATAGTAATTTCCATTGTAGTGCTGACTATAATTCGTTACCCCTGACGGGTAACGTTATTTTTTCTTGTTAATTCTCGATGATATATAAAATTAAAGTAAGACAAGTAACACTACCGTACTTTTTTCTCTGTAATGTAAAATATACTACACGTCTACCAAATAGTTAAGTTCGTCAAACGTAAAAGAATATAATTGTACAGTTGAACGCTTGGCTCTCTTTTTAATCTTTTGTCTTTGTTGTCGCTTCTGCGTAGATATAAGAGTAAATCTGAACGAGGATCGAAGATATAATTCGCATTGTTAACGGGAGGATAAATCGACGAGTCGCCAGGAGGCAACGATCGCGTTTCACAGACAATACACAGACGATCGTTCGATAATCGTGTCTAAATTTGTTTCCACTGGCCGGAGATGACGATTCACCGATTCAGCTCTCCCGTTGGTCGACCACGTATACGGGGGAGCGCGATCCGATTTCTATCGTACTCCTTTCTCCAATAATCTGTTTTTTAGCTTCTGTGTTCCCGACCGAGCCAAATCTTCACGGGACATCTGCTTATTTCTTTATAAAGGCGGGGAGCACCTACCCTACCGTGTAGGAATGAGTGTATACTTGATTCAGGCTCGTAGACACTTCGGCTAATTAATATTTTCACTTTTTGTGCAAGATTGGACGATGAATGAGCACGTTCCCTCTTATAGTCAGCTTTCGTTTTTCAGTAATAATTCTCTTTTTTTCTCGTTTTCTGGGCGACGTGCGCGGATCTTGCCTCGCGTTTCTATTTCTTCACATCAACCGACAGAAAACACTATTATAAACGGTGTTACGACTCGGGGGTGGATCTCTTAAGATTATTGCCAACTTTGTACAGTATCGATAATCATAATGATAGTAACAATAATATCGCATTTAAAGATGAAAATGAAACAACGATCTATTTATATTCATATATGTATATACTCATTCTGTATTCTCGTCGAGAGAGAGAGAGAGTGAGAATGAAAGAGAAAGTGAGAGATAGATAGATAGAGAGAGAAAGAGAGAGAGAGAGAGAGAGAGAGAGAGAGAGAATTGTGAACGCAAATCTCCGATACACGACGACTCGTAGGCGAAAAAAAACACCGTTCATTTTATTTAATAATTAAACCTTAATACAAGTCTCTTTTTTTGTTTCTTTTTTTCGTTTTTGTCTTCACTGTTCTATTTTTCTATGTCTATCGCTTTTGTCATCTTTCTTTCGCGTCTGCGATAGTTTCCTCGCCTAATAGAGAAAGTGTGTCTACTGATAAAAAGTATTTTTCTCGTACCATTTGTCTTGAACATGCTAGATATATTTAAATTTGTTTATCTCTCTCGTGCTTGGATACCTCTCTCGCAACATCACGCACGCGACACGCACTCTTTCGCTCGATTTGGATGAAACTCACCTTTGCAGACACTTAGCTCTCATTCAGTCGATACCCGGTCTCACCTACATCCCCGCGATTTTCTTGCTTTCATCCCTCCTCTTTCGCTCTCACCCTCGTTCGCACGGTCAAAATTCGTACTCTCCCCTTTCTCTCCCACTCTCTCATTCCCTAATTTATTTCATTATTTTTTTTTTCTCATTTTCTTCTATATATCTTCGGTAAATGTAAATTTATTTTATATATAGTAATCTCACTTTGTCGCGTGGCAGTCAAGAGACACGACCACGCAACCTCTCTTATCGTTACTTATATGTTTTTAACATCGACAACTTCCCTTCTCTATCGCTCTTTTATTATTTTTTGTTCGTTTGTTCTTTCTTTTTTTTTATCTGAAAACATTCGCAAACTTACGATTTACGTTCGAAAGTGGAATTGACACTCATATAAGATTATTGAAATAGTCTCTCAAAGAGTTAATAATTGCACCAATGCGACACGACCAAATGTACATACATTACTTATACATATATTCCGTCCTTCCTGTTTTTATTCCCTTCTCCTCTCGATACTTGCTCTCACGTCGCGTTCTCGAGGTTCCCTCTGCTTCGTCACAATTCCCAAATTCCGTTGTTCTCTTCGTTTTACCCGTTTTTCGATTCATCCGGTTCACCTCACTCACTCACGCGTTCAGCCCATCTGCCGATCTCATCTCTCCCGTCGCTCGTTCACTTTTCTACAAGCTCGAATACTTCTTATACAATGCTAGTGCTAATAGTTTCACTTTCTTAAAGACCTTTGACGTATTCTTTTGTCGAAATAAACGTTTGTTCAAGTAGGGGCAGTAGATTTCGCTTACTTGTTGATGCAAGAGTTGATCTTACGATAGAAAACGCAGAAGGGTGGAACGAATGCATAATGCAGCATACCTGGTAATATTAAGAAAAGAGACGGACAGACGGACGAAGCGGTGGCGAAGCAAGATCGGAAACTCGCTGGCCGACCTTTCCTCGTTAACAAAAGGAAATCAACGAAGCCCCAGGTGGTTGCATCACGTTTCGGACGAGGAAACCTTTTTTTTTTCTTTGTTTCTCTCTCTTACAACGTTTAGGCCAAAGTACGTAAACTATTTCGCAGGATCGATGCGTGTGCATACCCAATTTAAAGGAGGAGCACGGGAATGAAAGTCTATCGGTGGCCCGGAGAACTTATAATTCGATGGTACGAAAGTAACTGTTTGATTCCTCAATTCCTAGTTCGCGAGAATCGCTGCGTGCGAACGCAAACGCGCACGCATCGGAGAATAGACACTAACAACAAGGTACACGAGACGTTATTTTAAAGCTAGCCGAACAAAATTTATTCAACCACGACCGTTCCCTCCTGTTCCGTTCCGTTTTCATCGGATCGGAGCCACGTTTAATCGATGTATCGGATTGTTCGTAAAGCAACGGCTTATTCACCTACGAAACTTCTCTACGAATGTTCTCCAGTCGATGAAACAAAATGTTTACTGAAGCCACTTCGCGTGTGCCAAAGCGTCGACCGTTCATAGATGCCCGTACGTATAAAGTTCTAAAGGGCAGCGTCATCTCGTGAATTATCCGATACAACGAAGAAACGACGCGCACAGGGAAGAGCTCTCACGGTTACCTATCTCGTTTTGGTGCGGTATTCATGTCCCCAATGGTATTAAGGCCGATAACGTGTTCGCAATTATAATATTTCCTCTATATGTATATTAATATCGTGGAAGCGTCGAACCGGCACCGAGCGACAACCGATGAAAAACGATTGACACGTTCGTAACTGTTCAGCGTTACAAATTTTCAATTACCGTGTAGAACGATTAAAGACGTCTAGAAGAACGAGAGATACAAATTCGAAACTGGAAATTAAAGTAGAAACCTTCCTCTTTCCTTCCGATCCGACAACGACGACTACGACAACAAAAGTTGATTCAACCGGTTCGATATACATACTTACACGCGAAGAGTCCAGACAGATACCGCGCGGATGCCTGACGATTCGCTCCTGCCTTCTCGTCACAGAGGGACTTGTAACACGCGTTCCTCGATATTCCCTTTTAAATCGCGTTCAAAACGATTAGATATTTAGATCGTGCCAACGCAGCTACCTAAACTAACAATCATTATGCTTCTGTACAATGCAAAGTGATTTTTTTTTTCAAGTATCCTTAATTATCGTTAGCGTTATCATTATCATCGTGTCGTTCGTCCTCTCTCTAATGCCACGTCTCTATCTTGCTTACTTATTTTTCTCCATCGTACCAGCGTTTCGCCATCGCGTCATATACAATGTATCAGTACTACCGGCACCCGTATAAAACGTGGCCCGCGTTTCTTCCTTCCCCCTTATATCATTCTAAAACATTAACTCATAATCTTTTAACTGTATGTACCTCAACGTTCATATAATATAATCAACAAAACATTAACACGAACGTCGCCCGTTTCTTGCTCGAAAAGCGGCTATCAGACGATACAGTTTACGAGCAACAGGCGTCGCGAATAATAAATTACCATCGTTAATATATTACTCTTTTCGACAGTGCCGACTAACTATTTTTTTTTATATATATATACATGTAATAATGTTGCGTGAACGCGTTTCTTTCTGGGTGGCCACGTACGCACCTGCGTTTACGCGCGTGTCTCATGTATGTACGTATATGTCGTGTACGTCTCTTTTACGCCCGTACTTAGTACGCGGCGTGTATTCGCGCATGCGCGAATACACGCCGCGTCCACGTACGTCGGTGTCGTGTGTGGTAGCACGTTTGTTTACGCACCGAGCGCAAATGCACGTGTGTGTCGTGTGTCTGTGTGTGTATATATACATACATATATACACATATAGCATTAAATATGTATACACTTCGTGTAGATTACGATACATCGGTATGATCCAGATTTTATCGACGACGATTGTTATTAGCGTTAATTATTTTCCCGTAACACTTATCTTTATTATTATTGCTGCAGCGTTTCCTCTTAGATCTCCTCTTCTCTCCTTGTCATGTTTTCTCGTCTCTGTGAACATCGTTTTCCTCCTTCTCTTCCTTCTCTTCCTGGCGTGGTACTCGTATAGGTAGGTATGTTTTCTGCGTTTACGCGCCGAAACCGATCGACTCAAAATCTGTTTGCACAATCGTTAACTTCCTCCGATCACGAACGAAACGAACCGTTGTTAAGTATAGTCTCTGTCCCGGTTTTACAAAGCGTGCGCGGGAGTCTTTGCCGTCGTTGCCGCCGTTGTAGTGGTCGTAGTCGCTGTTATTGTCGTTGAGATCGGCGAACGTCTCGACCGATCATTTCGAAGTACCCGGTAACGTACTCCGTAACCATAAACTGAACTGTGGAACATAGAATCGTCACGATTCGGGACCGGGACTAGATTCGGGCACGACACACGCCGAGGATCAAACCGTCTTTAATCCCAACTCGAACAAAAAAAGTTATTGTAAGTAAGACAGTTTCGTCTTCGGTGCGAGTCGACTACGCTTCAGCTGTGAGTAGTACATCTCGGGGATTTGTTAGCGACTTGTCGACGAAGGAATCGCGGCGGTCGAACCAAATACCGATAGCGTTTCGAACAGCGCAAAGTCGAAGATTCTTCCTTTCCTCGATTCAGAGCAGTTGCACCGCAAAGAGACGAACGAAGAGAAAGGGAGGGGAGAAGGAGTGAGCGTATACTAAGAAGGCGAGGATTCGACTGAAATCTACAGTTCTAGACGCTTCAAATCGTAACAATGATATGTAGCCATCTCCAAAGCTATCGTGAACTACTTAAGGAAATATTATCCGATAAATTGGTTAAGAATTAATTTCGAAGCTCAGTTTTGTTTCCTTCTTTTTAAAAAATCACAGTCAAAAGAATGCACTTTGGTAGAGATAGTCGATGTGTATTTGTCGTTTGAGTCAAGTCCTCCAACGGATTCGGCACCTGTTGGATCTCGGGCTTGGGTAAGAAGATGCAGGCGATTAGTTCTATTCTCCTAGGCCGGAGGGCTTGGAGCACGCGCGAATCATGGAAACCCGTTCATCCAAAAACTTTGTTCACCTGAACGAAATTTTATTCCGCGTCCGAGTAATTGATCTCGAAGTCGGTGAAACCACTCTGATACCGAACGTAGGACGGCGAACTCTGATCTTTCACGACGTACCGGGTCCCACTTGCTACATATTAGATTTTATCCGGCTGCTCGAAACATCTGAACGCGAATTCGGATCCGCCAGGTTGCTGTCAACCGCGCCTGTGTCGTGATTGAACGGGCGTCTACTGCATTGCTTCCAAGAGGAGCTGCTATAAAAGGACACGAAAGTGCTACCAAAACGAAGTATCTGTTCCGGAGCTGGTACAAAGGAACTCACTGGCTAATAGAAGAGCTAAATGTAGACTAGCCGGGAAGCTATCCGCGCCGTGATCCGGTGTTTTACAGAGCTCGGACTTGTAGGCGCGAAAGGAAACGAAAAGTGGACGCCGACTTTAGTCAACGACAGCGAAGCTACGGCGACTGACGATCGCACAAACAACGACGACGGCGATTCTTCGTCCTTCCCGTTAATTTCTTTCTAATTTTCATTTGCGTTTTCACATTATCTTTCTCTTCCTTCCCTCCCGATCTCTTTATGTAGTATGATTAGCCGACAGGTGGAACGTGTGCAACACGCGGAAACGTGTAACAGAAGGAGGAATCTCTGCGTCGATCCGTGGAACGGGGAGTGGCACGCGCGGACGAAAGACCTGTCGACGACAACGCCGCGAACGTGATCGCGGTTCAATCTTTTCCTATCGTTGCTGTTGTTGCTGCTGCTGGCGGTGGCGCGGTTGCGGTTGCGGCGGTCGTGGTCGTGTGCTCGCGATCGCGGTCGATGGCGGTGATCGTTCGTTTTCGAAGAGGCGTGGTGTCCAACAACGTTTCGGGCCGATTTGTCCGGGTGCAGACGCTGCCGACGTCGTTTTGCGTTTGCGTACGCGACGGCGACCTCTTTGGACCCTTCTGCAACAGAAATCGATCAAACTCAGCGATCGGTCGTCAGCTCGCGCACCTCTCGCGATTCTTTCCTATTCAATCGTGTCCTAAATAAGAATAATAGGAACTCGAATCGTAACGAGGCTCGAGCGACCGAACATACATTCACGCGGTAAGAGTCAAATACGATACCTGATTGCGACGTTCACAGTCCAAAGTATCCACCGATGGTGGTGGCCACAACGACGCCCAATATGGCAAGGCAGATCATGATCATGATCTTCTTCTGCGCTCCGCATCGATCGGATCAGCAAAAACATAATTGATCGATTATAACGCGACGCGCAACGTCGCGACTCATTCCTACCGAACATGTACCCCTACCACGTCTACGATAAACTCTTCCTCGTTCTCGTGTACACGACTCACACATATACGTGTTTTATCCTATTCCAGTCTTTCCTTTTCGGATACATATTAAATTGTTTTCGACAATGCCTCTCTGCGTGTGCGCCTGCCGCTCTGCCACTGCGGGAGCCAGCAAATTCTGTCCAAACGCGGGACACGTCGTTTCGACCGGAAAGAACGCGCCTTTCCGTCGAACCGACCACGGAGCCGATACACTCTTCTCTACCGAACGAGAATCAACCAAATCGTCGATCACAGACATCGACGCACGCCTCTCTAGCCACGAGTCCACCGACAAACACGCCTGATAATTAATTACGCGTTGCGAATTCAGGAACAATATCTGGATACAGGTACTTGCAAACAATTCCTACGAGAGTTAAGCGAACGCCAGTGGAGACGCACCATCTCGCACACGAAATATGCGCTTACTTTACAGATCGGTTGTGCGTTACATCGTTTCTTCAGGATCATATCACGGTTACAACGTTGTCCGGTATTGTTCGACGTGTTCATTGCTCTGCCGCGACGCGTCCCGACTCCTTTTCATTGCCGAAGTACTTGGAAGCCGAGAGAAGCTGGAAACGGTTACGGAAAAACACCGAGAAGACATCGAAAACGAGAACCCATTCTGCTTCGTGCGAGTATTTCTCTTAAATCAGACGAACGTCGTCAGCGTCACCGTTTCTTATTTCCTCTTTCTATTTTTTTTTTCTAAACACAAACGACGACGCGGTGAACGCTGCGACGATTCCACGGATCGTCTCTCCTGGTTCTTCGTAGCGACGATTACGATTACTTATTTCCCTCTGGGTAGGTCTTTTCTGTTTCCTGGTCCGCGTTCGTGTCCGCCTTCTGCCGACACCGCTTCCCTGAAATCCTCGTGCATCGTCGAGATCTAGTCTCTTCTTTACAACGCATGTACCAGAATGATTATGAGAATGATGAACGCTATTGTCAGGCAAATTACGATGAACATCAATTTCTGCGAACAGAATATAACATATTCCTGTCACTCGACGAGGACCATTTCTTTTTTCCTTTTCCGCTCCTCGGTCGAAAAGGATAATCCGATCAGTTGCGTGAGCGTACTAGTAGATAGCCAGAAAAGTTTCGCGCGTTAGTCGGAACGAGTGGAGTAGTAGTTAATGAGAGTTATCGTGTTACAGAGTTTTGCCCAGTTGTAGTCTATGTTAAATAGAGGCGGGGACTCCAGGGACGATCCGGAGCACGAGGAGGATAGATAGCGAAGCCGATATCATTCCGTTTTGCCAGGAATCGTGCGCAATCCGAAGGATCCATATCCGGGGAACAAAACTGAATTTCGACGGACGCGCGTCCATTTTTCATCATAATAATATTGCGTCTTCATTCTACGCGAGTTTGCGTTTCGGAACAGAACCGCTTTAGGCACCTTGCGTTCCGACGGAAATTAATTATCTGAAATTTATATCTCCATGAAAATTCGTATTTAATTATTATTAAGAAATGGAAATAAATCGAATCTAATAGTTTCGGTTCGAGAGAACCAGAAGGGTGACGCTGTAGCGGTTCCGTTTGCTGATTGCACAGCTATCGTCGTCGTTCTCCGATCAATTTTCGATCCAACTACCGGCTCCGAGTTTTCTCCTCGACAACCAACGGACTCTATCGCGCCCCAAAACGTTCACAGCATTCATCGTAACCCATTCGTTTACCCACCCTATCGCGTTATTTCCCTCCCGGAACCTTTAGCTCCTCGGCACGCATGCTACTATTATGGAGATCGTAATCACGGCCGCAATTAAGACGCAGAACATGATGATGATCATTTTCTGTGGACAGAAAAAAAAAGATACGGTTCGTGTGAGAGGGGCACGAACACCGAACGGGTGAGATAACGAAGACGTCGAGCAAATTGTGCAGAAATCGCCAGACGAAGTAGGAAAGATAAACACGGTTTCGCTTTGTCTTTGACAACGTACCGCTACGGTTCGACGATTAAAGCGATAGACGTACGGTACGCAGGTCGATCATTGCACATTTAGAAGGAGAAACGAGAAAACAGGCAGGTTGGCAAGCAGAAATTAATAGACGGAGAAGAGATTGTCATCTAGAAAAGTCGTTCATGCAGCAGTTGAAGAAGACAGCGAATAAACGACACAATACGGTGTACCTCACTGTTGACCAGCGTTCGAATAATAAACGCGATCTCATATTTGATAACACGTTAATCTTTTTTGTACCAAGTATACGGTACCAGAATACCGTCTCTTAGTAAGAAAAAAGGCAATTGCGTCATAGATAGCGTACGGATTATTGAAAATACAGATTAAGACACAGGCATTTAAATCGGTTATTTAATACTGTTATCACGATAAGTCATGGTGAATACCTTTTTCCGGAAGCGGAAGTTGACAGAGCTAGATCAAACAAGTGTGAGCTACCTTTTGATATCGCGATCACTTCACCGATACCATCGTTTCATAAATATTGACACTGATTCTATGATCTCAATCACGTGCATAACGTTAGTTCACTAATACGTTCGAATTACCGGCGAACCTTTCACGCGAACCAGATACGCGTGAAAGTGTGATTGTTCTCGTCACTTCAAACTAATAGTTAAATAACCGAAACAGGAAACGAAACAGAAGGCTAATCCTCGATCGACTAAGAACATGCTGCCGACACATCGCGTCGCGCCGTAAAAACTATTCTGGGATGCGTCCCGAACAACACCGATTGGACGGAAGCAAAGCGGAAGGGAAACATATTCTAATATTCTATGTGTAACTAAGGATGTACATAGTATTAATGGGAAACGACTCGTCATCTTTATCTTCTCGATAACTATGAGAAAGGAGAGAAGAAGAGACGACGAATCGAAAAGGAGCTACCTATTACCTCGTGGTATTCGGGAATCAAGAATTTTCGGCTTCCTACAAGGAGATAAACGGACTGATCGCCACTGGATGCATTATAAAAGCAACTCTAAATTGAATTGGAAACTTACTTGAATATAGTTCCGATCTAGTTCACGGTAGGATTTCTATTATTTGAACTTACAGAAAGGAAGTTTTAATATGTATATATAATCGAATTTTAAATATCCAGACTTTTATACAATTGGTAAATTATGTAATATAAGAGATGTAGATTATGCTAAAGATAGAAAGAAAGTGATTTAATGAATTGATCTAGTGACTATCAGCCGTTCGTTATCCGATTCCTTTACCTTACGAGTTCTTAACGCCGCGACGTTCCTCGGCCTCGCTCGGCTCACTTGGTCCACATAGACGTCGATTTTCGACGAGACACTCAATGCGTGCTCACCAAAACTCACCCTGTCACGTACTGGGATATCAGGGACCGGAAGATCGGAATTGAAACGGTTGGAGAATCACGGGATCGCGATGGTGGATCGCCTCCAACAGGGATGCACACCAAAAGTTCATCGTTGATGGCGTTCGTTTACGCGCATACGTATCGGATTGGCACGATCCGATTTTGTTTTCGCCGAGAGATAATCGCGGCGAAGGTAACACGTATACGCGCAAGCACAGATAATAAGACAGTAGTAAACACACCATAGATGAAGCCACACCGCAGTAGATTCACAAGATCATACCACTTTAATCTGAGGCGTCTGCGATGGACAGTAGTCACGCGCGCACACGTTCCATTTTCATCATTTTATCACGTACATATTTTCGTGAAGGAACGGGTGCGCGCAAGCGTCTCGTTATACAAACAAAAGTTATCGGTTAGAGAGGCACAGGTCAGTAACGCAGAGTTTTAGTATAGTACAAACAATAGACGAAACAGTTTGATGGACAGAGCCACACAGTTAGCACACTCATGTTTAGTAGGAGAGAGCGACACAAGTAGAGAGGCACAGATACAGTGTATGTTAGTATACAATATGATGATGCACGGAGTACACATCGAGAACACAATTCATATACACGTATGCCTATATAAAAAACACAGAAGGAGATACGTGTATACGTCTGCGCGCGTACGTACGTTATACATAGATACACGCGCGGCGAGTTAAAGGAGTGTTTAAAGGGCGCGTGATATACACATCATAGTCATAATACGTATACTGCTAATGCATTCTGAACACCGAACGCGTAAGCGAGCATATCGGCTCGGATCGTACGAGAATTAATGACAAACGAAAGAAAAAGCGCCGTCGTTATTTGATGTCCCATATTTCGGGAAACGGAATAGAAAAGCGGTCAATTAAAAAGCATAGGAAAAAATGTTAAATCAGAAGCGTAAATGTATATAATAGGAAAAAATGTTAAATCAGAAGCGGAATGCGAACGCATATGTATAAATATGTATGATCTAAGGATGAGAGGGAAGGATGGAGGAGAGGTGGAGCGCGGAGATGATTGAAAAAGAGCGAAATAAAAAGTGAACAATTAGACGCGAACGAAAAAAGATCCGAGTCTCGCGTGAAATCTGGTTGGGACTCACCCGTCGGGCTTTGCTTTGATACTTGAGCGCTTTTTTGGTGTCCTGCGTAGCCGTCTGGACGTAGTCCACCGCATGCTCCACGTGGTATTCTATACGATCTATCATCTCGCCCTAAAGTCAGATACGCGTGAGAGAGGACGTTCGTCGATCCTCGTTGATAAAAAAACAAACATAGATCGAGTAGAGAGTACGATTTGGCACGACCAATGTCTAAAGTCTAAGAGAACCCGATTCTTCTCTCCTCTGTTTTTTAGTCTCTCAGAGTTTTTGTCGTTTTACATTGCGACAGAGATGACAAACGAATAAGGAACTCGTCGGGGCAACTTACCTGACTTTCTACCAACATAGCCATGTCCATGAACATATCGTGTAGCTCCCTGATCGAATTTTCTAGTTTGATAATGTCGGCGTGACGCGCCTCGATGTCGGCGAGGGTCTGTTTCGCTTGTTGCGTTTCCATGATTATCTGCGGGAAACGCATCATCGTCTCGATACAGCACCACGTTTTCGATCCGTGTAGAAACGAAGAAACGAAACGCTTACCCCCTGCGTGAACACAGCCGGATTTCCTTGCTCCAACATCTCCTCCAGCTCCTCGTTAGTGGTCGTCCTACCGGCTATTGAAAAAAAAGAGGGGGGTGGGAAAATAGATCGATCGGTTAAACAGTCACGGAATCGGCAGCATCGTCTCAAAGTGTAATGACGATCGTCCTTCGCTTACTGATTTCCAGCTGTCGTTGTATCCTCCCCTTACACCGTTCTCTGTAATCGGTTTGCGTCCGATTGTACTCCGTCATTACCTCGACGAACTTCCTAGACAGCGTCGAGTGCTGTGTCTTGCGTATCCTCAGATCCGCCGACGATTTGTTCGTATGTTCCTCTTGCTCGATATTTTGCTCTATCACTGATCGCCGCGTACGAAAACACGAAAAAGATCTTCAGAATCGAGTTCACCGATTATCGACCGATTTCCGTTCCCGTCCGGACGGAACTTTGCCCGGCTTACTCACCCTTTAATTTGGCTCTCACTTTGTTGGCCGTTTTCTTGATGTCGGACATCAGATCTTCCAGTTCATTTTTGACCTCTGCAACGAGAACAAAAAAACTTTCGTCTCCGAGCTCTCGTGTAATAAGTTTTACTATACGTTCTCCCTCGTATCTCTCTATCGGACGTCGCGGTGTTTCGTCGCACAAGGCTTCCTATATTTTCCGTTTCTTCTTCATCTCGTGTCTGTCGTACGTACATCTGTACAAAGATTTCCGGTGTCCGAACTCGTGCGAACTTCGGTTCGATTCATCAACTGGTGTTCGCGTGATCGGGCAACGTTTCCCTCTTACGTACACGTTAATAGGGATTTACATTTCCCTGTTGCGAGCATTATTCGATAGAAAAAAAGTAGGTCTTCAAGCATGAACAATAAAAATTCCGATACAGGTCAGCGCGATGTATCGGTCTGCTGTTTTCACCCGCTTGTCCGCCGTTCGAGAGTTAAACGAAACTGTACACAGTAACCGTACAGCTATATCTGTGTATTCTATATACACACACGGAATAGTGTAAATTTAGTTGTGCCGCGAAAAGGCTGGAAACGATCGTGATCGCGAGAACGGATTCAAGTCGACACCGGCATTTCCCCCTGTTATCGATGCAACCCCTACCATCTGACCCCATTATCAACAGATACTCTCTTCTTAAACGCGTCAGCCGTTAACCCAAGAAACGAGACATCTGCCACTCGATATGCCTAAGCGCATCGATCGACAAAAACTGATCACGTGCAATTTTTAATTTGATCTTCCCTCGAGACGCTTACATCGTCAAATGAGGCGTTTCGTTATAAGTAAATAACGGGTCAATTTGCGATCAGCGTTCTTATCGATGGTTCGAAGAAGACACACGTGATTAAGATACCCCCACGGTACTCAACATTGGAATAAATGCGAACAGTCAAGATTTATTTCAATCCAATTATACAAGACGTTCCAGATTAAATTGCATAGCATAGTACACATAATGAACGAAGACTTTCATATATGTACATATTTTAAACTTCTTATGTTTATCAATGTATATCTCTGATGCATTTCCTCTCGACGTCTCAACATCTTTGAAACCTGGATAGCTACGTTCGATTTGAATACGCACACGCATAGTATGCGAACGGAAATGCGTTTCTGGAGAGTTTAGGATGCGTACACGCGGTCCCGTCGGCGACGAGGCACGCGCGTTCTCCTACGTCGAGGGTGCTCGATGGAATTGGGTTAATACGGGGTGGAAACGTGCCAGACCTACTTCTGAAGCCTCTCGAGAACTCGGCACAGCCCGGGAGACACAGGACGCTCGAATTCGATCGAATCGCGCGCGCGTTTCGCGTCCCAGAAAAATCTCTCTTTCCGTTTAACCCTTTCCTTACCGGGCCGGGATGGATCGAAGACGACGATCCTCGCTCTTCTAGACCTGAGAAGGGCCACCGACGTCGAGGTCGAGACATCGTAATCGCTTTCGTTTTATAAGACATCTCGATTAATAGAGAATCACGTTTGGAAAGATAACACCGATTCGGAATATATAGACTGAAGCAATTTTGAACGGAACATCGTCGCGTTATTATGGCCTTGTCCAACGTGAGCAACATTAACCTTCTCCGTGTTATTTCCCTAGAGCTTTGACCCCTGGCGTACGGCTAAAAAGTCGTCTATCGGATGCTCTGAGTGAGAGGACAGCTCGAGCCTTTCGCAGCTGTTTAGCACGAGAGACACTTGACTGGGTAGCGGTATCGAAAATGGTGCACGCGATACTCTTAAATCGTTCGAAACAGGCTGTGCCTTGACAGCGTATTTCACGTCGTGAAAGGGTGAAACGGGACGTATCGAACAAATTCAATGACGGCGGCGCAATACGTCGGAAATGAGAATAACTGACGCGAGCTCAGTGTGTTCGATTCACGGAGTTACGGAGACGGACAACCTTGCGCGCCGCTGCCCGTTATCTCTGTTCGAGCGTTTGTATGTACGTAAACAAATACGAGGAGAAACGGTCTCGCGTGAATAGAACCTAAAACGAATCGCGTTCTTATTTCCCCGATTACATCTAGACTGAAGGGTCGCTATTCTCCTTCGTTCGATCGTTTGTTTTGATCGTAAAGAATCTCGAAACGAATACCGTGCACGTTTCCACTTGCCGAGAAACGTTCGATTGTTCAAAAGTGAACGAGATCGAGCAATGAAACTGAGAACTTACTTTCGTCGGTCTGTGGTGCCGATAGGATGGCGCTATGCTTTTTCTTCACATCCTCTACGTTCGTCTGAATCCTGTCTATCATTTCGCGGATCTCCTCCACCTATGCAGAAATGAGAAATTGTATCGTCGCACGATCGCTGTAAAAAAACAGTCGACTGCGATTTTATTCGGCATGAAACAAAAGGACGGAACGCAGAACGAAGGAAACGCTAATGCAACTAATACGATTATATGAGAATCGAAAAATAGTGATCCCGTATAAAATTAAATCGCGTGAAACGTGTTTAAACTCAGTGTAACGCTCATCTCCCTTTTAGTTCTAAAACGAGATACAAGGAATAAAAATTTGTATCCGGAGCCAAAAAAGGCGAGGGTAAACGACTCTCGTTTCCGAGACATTAACACGCGATTAAAGGATCGTTTACCGTTTCCGTGGCAACGGTCCGCACGCAACGTTTCACCTTTGCCGGACGGTTCTCCTCCTCTCTTCCTACGCGGGCGCAATTAAAAAAAACCGCCGGATATCAAAAACGAGGGATCGAAGTTGATACCAGCCCACGCGCACGCAAATGTCAATGATGCTGTTCTGGTGCTTCCTACTTACTACCGCGAACGCGTAGGTGCGTTCGCATTGCGGCAGATCCGAATTCCATTGCATTCATCTTACCGTCCAAACTCCTATTTCTATTACGTTTCTATTTACGGCTCATCTCTTTTTTTTTAATTGCAATTCATTTTGTCACTTACCATTCCGCACAATGCGTAATTTTAAACACCCACTGACTTACGCGCGTAGGATGAAATAAACTGATACGAATTAATAAAAAGTCTTCTTTTAATTTCTGATAGACAATACGAAGATACCGAGTTCGGAGTCGTCTCGACCTAATTTCCCAATATCGAGACTAAACCAGCCGAACAGATCTTTTACCGCGAGATAGTTCCGGTTAATTGGATAGTTTTAAATTCCTCGTCGACTAATTTCAATGTGTCTACAATTTTTGTAACGGGATAATTGCAATTAACGAACATAAATCACAACGAATTGTAATTAGTTTATTAATTAAATGCAATTAATACGAACAAAGTAGATGAAATCGATGGCTAATCACATGACTCGGTGATTTCTTTCGATTTTATTGTTAATTCGTATCGTCGGTAATTAATCGATCATCCTCGTGAGATCAGACGTTCGGAAATCGGAATCCCGATTAATAATACTATTATATGTGAACAAAACAGGAAGAGAGCTCTGTGCGTGCAGACGGAGGACACGGGACGAAGATGAGTACGTACATTCGTACATAGTAGCACATTTATGATTATTCTGATTTATCATCGATTCATTATGTACGCCTCGTGGGAAATAATTGAAAGGGAACAAAGAAATCTCGACGCACAATTCACTATAGCAACGTATGCGATACGTCATAGTTATTGTTTCTCCACGAAAACGATTAGGAAGGCTAATCAACGAACAAGAGAGTTCTTTTCTTTTTTTTAAGAACAATAAGATTGAAATAGAAGAAACATCGAAGATACAATGTATCAATGAACTGATCAGCTCGTTACTATCTGATAGTGAATGTACAGCAATCTTCCAGACGAGACTTAATCAAGGTTGAGATCGAGATACCGGAGGATGCAGGAATACTCACCTCCGCGAAAAACTCGGTCATGAAGTCATCGGGCCCGCCGACGTTGACGGATACATCGTCCGCCACGTCATCGTCGTCCGACTGGGCCTGAAACAAACGAACACGTTCATTAATCATCGATCCACCCAACGTTCTCTCAATTCCTACGCTGCATCCGTCAGATTCTCGGATTACGTTACGGCGAAGAATACGAAATGAAAGAGGCAGCCGTCTGGCCTGAATTAAATTTTAATATCCGCAATCGTTCCCGAACTACTGGCAAGCTTTCGTTGTATAATTGATCTCGAACGTTTCTAAATCCGTACTAAGCAATAACCAGTAACGAATCGAAAGTCCTTAGCATTATGTGCATTATCGTTAACCCAGTGCTGGATCGATATTCGCGCGTTTAGCGCCACGAGAAACACGGAGTTCGCATAGATTTTCGCGCGCCAAATGCGCTCCGAATACCGAATCGCTGATACGTTCGTAAAGTACACTCGTGGGGTACATATGTATCGCGTGTGCCTACTGTACGCGGCGTATGGCACGGAAAACAGCGGCTCGTTGCGCACCGGCCGGGCCGTGCAATCTACGTATATCCACCCCGAATCGAACACGTCGACTTTCAATTCTATGCGAACACATTTACATTCAAACTGTTATACATTTTTATCGATCTCTCGCGTTTTCAGCCCTTTTGTTCGTATCCTCCTCGACTTATCTATGCCCGAGCAAGGTGCCGACTTGGCAAAAAAAATACCGCGAGAGACACCGGGACTCGTCCGTCGGGAGCATCGATTTCGTTCAGTTTTCTTTCCATTCTCTCTCTGCTATTGGCTCTGACAGTGATCTCTGTCCACGCAGATCGCGTTCAAGATGCACGCGATTCTTTTCGTATTGTACTTAAAAACTGATAGCTAGTTTATCAGCGGAACTCGGTTCAGACGAAATGCTAGGAGTCCGGAGATTATGAGCAATCTTTTCTTAGATTTCGTCGATACGGGAAGTAATAGACTTTGGTTCATGATACGATTTCAGATACCGATAAGACAGAGTTCTCAATAGACCTGACACGGTTTAATTGACAGAGATGCAATTCAAATGACGCGGATACAAATTACGCATGGTTATTTGCGATACGTATGTATCGAGTGACGCGTATAGTACGCGTGCGATAATGAGCGGAGAATGAGGCCGTTTCTCACGATCACGAGAAAGATTGTCACGGACAGATGTTTGAAGAAGCATAGCGAATCATTCGCAGATAATAACATAACAATTCTTCTCAGCTTCTTCTTATCATTTAATCGTTGCATCGATATCTAAAGATTTAAGTTTGGGGATAGCATGCCAGTTCATCAAACGCGAATATGACTCCCGATTTCATTCATGGAACGAAATCACTGCCGTGACCGCGTTCGATTCGATCGAATACGGCGAGAAAAAATAGAATGATCGTCGAATGTCGCGTGCGGTTCGATATACGCCCAGATATCGGCGATTCCCCAAAGTAATTAGTCGGCCGCTGTGAGTCACCGACACCGACCATTACGCGCGATCTGTTTGTACCTCCCGATGGAGTTATAAAAATATCCATCCGTGTCCGGAATCCGGCATTGTGCCGTGAATCAATCGGGCGTCACCAGGAAAGATTTTTTTAATCGTATTCGGGGAAATGTTCGCGCGAAGAATCCGACTACCGGCGTCCACGGGCCTCTGTCATCGTTACGAAATAAACGATGACGAAAAACATATATTGGCAAACACCTGTCAGTCACAGGAGGCATTGGTCTTTCTCTCTCTCGCTCGCTCGCTCTGTTTCTCCGTCTCCCTTTCCATCGTTCCATCTTTCTCTCCCTTTCTCCGCTTATCCGTCACCGTCTCTCTATCATTCTCATTCTCTCCCCCCTCACTATCTCTCTTTCTTTTCCCGTCTTCTTTTCTCGTTCATTCGGTTCTCTATTTAACTACTGAATGGTTGACAGTCAAGTAGACACCTCGGAAACGCCTTCTTTCAGTTTTACTCGTAAACGAGATTCGAACAAGCATCGATTCGCTGGCTGACTGGCGCTTACAGAGGAAATATTTGATATCCCGTCAAAACGAAGAACAACGGGCTCCATGCACAATACGCGTGATACAACGGAATCGGATGCGTTCGAAGTTTTCGTTCGAGCATCGGGAACGGTGTTAATGCAATTGCAAACAGAGAAACGTACGGGGGACCGAGGATTCGGAAAGGCTGGGAAACGGAAGGAAAGCGCGCGTGATTAACAAAGATAAACGGTAAAAACGAGGGGAAGAGAAGACGAGGATAAGAGACGATGACAATGGGAAAGAGATAGGTTAACGGGTCGAGCTGACCGTTCGGCAAATCGGCTCAGTTTCGAAAAATTGTAACGCAGGCTATTGAAAACTCACCGCAACGAGGGCTGCTAATCTATCCTTGGTCATGGTGAGGGTGACGAAGTGTTGCGAGTCAGCGGATGTACGAAGTGAAGAGACTAGCGACTAATCCCATTCACGATTTTATCCATGTACTATGAGCACGACCACTAAAAACTAAAGGAAACGGACGCACTAGCGGCGAGAGACACGATCGTAAAATCGATACACTCGCGAACTCGCCTGCTTCTGCAGTGCCGTCCGTCTTCGAGCGCATGCGTCGATGACGTCAACTATAACCAGGGCCGATACTAAATTTCATGTAACCCCGTCCTATCCGCACGCCCCCACCTCGTCATTTATTCAAACAATTTTTCTATTTAACAATAATAATTTTCCGCTGAAATCCAAGCGACTCAATGTTGAAAATCGACTCAATGTAGAAAATCGACTCATATTTCGAGAGATCAGCTCGTCGTAAAGCTACGTATCAACTCTTCACGTAAAAGACTATTCGATCTCTTAGAGATTCCAAGATTTAACAAGATAAACAACATCAATTGCTCTTAGCTTGTACTTTTCTTTGAACACAAGTTGACATGTACTTAATTCCGTTTAAGCAGGATTAAGAAAATAAAAGCAAATATGAGATATATATGGAGTATACAAGACGGTGACCGTGAAATAGCTATATAGATCCATTTGCCACCGGAAACGAAAGAGATGAGACAATAGAAAACTGGGAAATTTTTAAAAGCCACGTAAATATAGTCTTTTCTAGTTAGCACTCGTCAAACTAAACGCGCCCTCGCGCGCCGGTGCTCCGTTCCACGTATTTAGGACCTTCGTTAAAAAGTGAAGCTCTTCGATACCGGCTTGATGTAGCGCGCTCGAAATACATAGGTGTCGCTAAAATTGTCGGTGCTCCCGTGATTTTCATAAAAAGATACGGGTTCGCTTATTATTTTAACATTTCGTGAGGAACAATATGCCAACTGAATTTTTCCGTTTCGCGTGAATTCGACGAACCGTTTAAGTTACGTGACATTATGTTTGGCGAATGATGAGAACGCGGACCCCTACCGTCGAATCGAAGGAACGCCATTGTGAGCCGTAACGACTGTGTTGCAGGGTGAGTTTTATCGGTCATTTTCACGTACACGTTGCTTCCCGGGAAATTTTGTACAAATATCCACCAATTTTCGTGAATCTGAAGTAAAATAATCGTCCGGCCTGTACGACCGTTCCTAACCGCGATTGGAAATCGTCCTGGGACCGTAACCGCGCGATTAACGCGAAAGCTTGCGTTACAACGGGAGGCGCCATTCTTTTACCGAGAACGTGGTGAATTTGTAACGTCGTCTTGGCCGTGAGCGCGGGACACATCGGCCGACCGGCTTTCCGAATTAACGTCGAAAGTACGACGAAGTAACGTCCCGGTGCGTCTGTTTGTTTCACAATCGAGGAAACGTATCGTTCCCGAATCACTTTGAAGGTACGGTTTTGATCTCCGTTCAACTCGGTCACGTTTTTGGTGCGTGATGCGATACGCGTCTATCTGGCATCTTCCAGCAATTTCCAACCGCGTGTCGGAATTTTTTACCGCCGGAATTCTCTTTCCATGATTTGACCAATCTTCAACCGCGATATTTGATACGACTGATTTGAACTGCTATTCTCCTCTAAGGTTGAATATTTCGATCCTAATCTCTTTTTCCAGATTCCAGTACATCGCTCCGATCTTTACGTGAATCATTGATATTAAAATGGCTCAAGAAGCTGATATACCTACTTTCAAATGCGTGTTGGTTGGCGACGGTGGTACCGGTAAAACCACGTTCGTCAAACGGCATTTAACTGGTGAATTCGAAAAGAAGTATGTCGCGACGTTGGGTGTCGAGGTGCATCCACTGATCTTTCACACAAATCGAGGTCCAATCCGGTTCAACGTTTGGGACACTGCCGGTCAAGAGAAGTTTGGCGGTCTCAGAGATGGATATTATATCCAGGGGCAATGCGCGATCATTATGTTCGACGTTACGTCGAGGGTGACATACAAAAATGTCCCCAACTGGCACAGAGATTTGGTTCGAGTTTGCGAGAATATACCCATCGTACTCTGCGGCAACAAAGTTGACATTAAAGACAGAAAAGTAAAAGCCAAGAGTATCGTCTTTCACAGAAAAAAGAATCTGCAGGTAAGTAACCTTAATTTCATTCAAGCTCTCATATAGTTTACATATGATGAAACCATTATTTTTCACTGCATTCTTTTTACAGTACTACGACATCAGTGCAAAGAGCAATTACAATTTTGAGAAACCTTTCCTGTGGCTGGCACGCAAACTGATCGGAGATCCGAATTTGGAATTCGTCGCGATGCCGGCTCTCCTCCCGCCAGAGGTTACGATGGACCCACAGTGGCAGCAACAAATCGAGAAGGATCTCAAAGAAGCCCAAGAGACAGCGCTACCAGAGGACGACGAAGACCTTTAGTTTGTTACGCCGCGTGTATGATACGAATAGAGGCAAACTGTATACAAGCATATTTAAGTACGTACGCGTACTTGTGCCTCTCCATGAGTCGAAGATTCTTTCTTGGATGGAATTAATACAATGTACTTCTGTTTTATATTTAACTTAAATAATAGCAGAACTTTGTCCTAGTAACGAGATTACCGAGAGCTGGACGTCGTATTCGCGTAAGGAGATGTTTGACTCGGGTAGATTGCGTTCGATTGAATCGATGCTTAAGCTCGATGAACAACTGATCCTTCTCCTTCGTTTGTGTATTATGAATGGGGTATGCGTGAATATACGTATGTTGAATGCGACGATGTATTTCGTGTAATGAATGTAAGACTTGTCGAGTCAAATTGTCGCCTCCCACCTTTGAAGCACAGGCCTTGAAAGCAGTCAGAGTTTGATCGCTGATTTTATATAAACGTCTTATATCGATACATTGGACGTAAATTGTCGGTATTCGAATGAGCGCTGGCGTTATATTTCCTAATAAACGAAAAGTTAATTCTTTAGGAAAGAATCTTTCGATGCGGTCGAAACGTTAACGTTAGAATTCACTTGAACACGCGTACACGCGCACGTGCATACGGATACACCAAATTGAAAATACATCGCGAAATAGTTTAATCCCCTTACCTTTGCTGCTACTTTTACATAGGCACAAATGCGCGACGATAAGCGAAAACGAAAAGAAATTATAAGAAAAATCGATCGGATGCGTAATACCGAGTCGGATGAACCAATGCAGCAGCGATTGTTTTTTCGTGATCGATACACTACTCCCAGAACACGGTGTTATATTTTGAAATAATGTTTCGATTGGAGCGAAGCACGGTTTGTAGTCGGTTGCGCCTGTCCATGATGAGGACTGTTTACTATTTTTATAAGCGAAGGTGAATGTATGATTTGTTCAACTTAAATTATATAAACAGTGTTTTTTTCTTTTCTATACAGAAATACTCGTTTCGTTGGGTGTCAGACAACGCACGTTGCATGTGTAACGTTCCTTTCCCTCGATCCCTTCGTTTTATTGGTGAACAAACATAGGAGAGCGCAGAAATAAATGTGTGCGCTCGAAGCAGCCTGTGGTTGCGGGATACTTGCAGGAACAAGGAGCGCGGAACATCTTGTATCGGTGTTTCATTTGTTCTGTTCGAAACAGCTTGTATCATTGATGTATTGGACTTAATAAATCGTCATTGAACTGTTTTTATAAAGTTAACATCTACAAATTGTTTGTGTAAGCTTAATGATCCACGCTGTATTTATTGGACCGTAGCAGGTGCAGAGTATCATATAAAAGAACAATTTATTCAATGATACATACATGATAGGACAGTTTTCATTTGCGTACAATCGATAAACGCGTATGTACAGTAAAGGTAGCACAACTTAATATTTAGAAACTGACCGGCCATGAACGACGGCGAGAAAAAAAATTGATACAAATGATCGAACTTACTTGCACATAAAATGTCTAAAGCTGATCACGTTACGATATTGGTGTATACATTTTAGATCCAGTTCTATTAGATTCAATTATTTGGGTGTCACGCGATAATTGCGATAAATGCATGAAATTAAGCTTCAGCTGCTACTTTCTTCTTCTTTCTACCTTCGAGAAGTTCTTGTCGTTCAGGTTCACTAAGTCCTTTCAATACATTCGTGATTACGCCAGTTCCTATCGTAGTCGTCCCGTCTCTTATCGTGAATCGTTGTCCCTTTTCGCATACCATTGGCCTGATCAACTTCAATGCAGCGCTGAAATCGAACGTACAGAACGTTTAATAAACTAGTTCGATGCAATTGAACGTTCAGAAGTGACTCTAGGAAGACTTACGTAAAATCTTCACCAGGCATAACTAGAGTCTTGTTTACTAAATTCAACTCTCCGGCGACGTCCCACGTTTTACAAAACATTTGAATGTGCATAAGATTGTTGAGAGGTCTCTTCCTACCCCCTTCGGCGGGAGTCAACATGTATATTTGACATTCCATGTGGTCGTGAGCTTTCATCGAACCCGGTTTGCACATTATCATGCCCCTCCTGACATCCTCCCTTTTTAAACCTCTGAGCAAAGCTCCCATTTGATCACCGGCTTGGGCTTCCTCCAGCGTCTGATGGAACATCTCTATCCCCGTTATCGTGGTCTTCAAGCATTTATTGAAACCGATCAATTCGCAATCCATGCCCTTCTTTATTTTGCCACGTTCCAATCTGCCGGTGACCACAGTTCCTCTACCCTGTACCGAATAAACACTCTCCACAGGTAATAAGAATGGTTTGTCCAAATCCCTGATGGGAGTCGGAATATGACTATCGACAGCTTCCAATAATTTAAATATCGACTCCTTTCCTATCTCTGGTTTGTTGCCCTCTAATGCACAGAGTGCGCTACCTTTAATTATAGGTATTTTCTCGCCATCGTAACCCATTTCAGACAATAGTTCTCTTATTTCCATCTCCACCAAGTCGACCATTTCGTCGTCTGCAGCATCGACCTTTAAAATCAAACGAGCATAAATCATCTCTGGTTCCAACCATCACTATATTCAATAAAATCGAACCTTATTGATAAAGATAACGATGTATTCGATGCCGATCTGCTTAGCGAGGATAAGATGCTCTCTCGTCTGTGGCATAGCACCGTCAGTAGCAGCCACGACAAGGATAGCTCCATCCATTTGAGCAGTACCAGTGATCATGTTCTTAATATAATCTGCATGTCCCGGACAATCCGTGTGACTATAATGACGATTGTCCGTTTGATACTCAATATGGGCTACATTAATGGTAATACCACGTGCTTTTTCCTCGGGTGCGTTATCGATATCGCTGTACGCTTTCGCCGTAGCAAGTTCCTTCTCGGCGAGAACTGAGAAAATCATACAATGTTACGAAAAAATATTAAAATAGGAGCGAATCAGGCAGGGAAGAAAGAAAGTACCTTTGGTAATAGCTGCGGTAAGCGTCGTCTTTCCATGATCCACATGTCCGATCGTGCCGACATTGCAATGCGGCTTATCCCTGCTGAATACTTTTTTAGTACTGTAAAACCTTTGCGTTATCGCACTCGACAGATACGACGACGCTGCCAACTGTCCGTAAAATTGCTGAAAATACAGAAACGATCGAATGTATCGTAATGTTGACGCGATAAACACACATGTAATGGCTACGAGAAACACTATGTAACTTTCTTACGTGTTTAACAAATTGTTCGACGTAAAACAGTTGCTTGACGCCGTTCTTAAATACTGAAAAAGAGACAAACGCACCTTTTCGTCAAATGCTTTAAATCAATTAACACTGATTAAAATTAGATTCTCTTTATATTCGTTAGGTACATTCTAGCGATTCCCGTTTCGAAATAATTGGGAAACACCCTCGCTGCCGCACGACGGTGTCCGAAATAAATAATTATGCAACGATTATTTAGCAAGTGCCTGAACTTTTCACTTACCGGGATTGAAAATTAGCTTTCTATAAGTAAACGCCATGTTTCGTTAAAAATCTTTTTATCGCTTAACCTGAAATTCTACGACGGAATCTTCGAACAGCACACGAACACGACGCAAGCGACACACGCGGACGGATTACTCCGTTGCGTAATATTTTTTAATGTTATTATGATATAAACGACGCATATAGGGTCAGATTCCAGAAGGATTCTTTGTTTCTCGTGTTTCCTTTTTATTTATTGTCTTTTTCCGAAAAGAGGGAAACGTTCAGCCGGTTCCGAGTAGATATTCTAGAAATTGTTACGGCGCAAAATCCATCCATTTACATGCGCGACAATTCGAAGATTACTTCCAGCGTAAAGAGCCTCTGTCTTCGATCGTTGTTAGTTATTAGACAATATTCGAAACTTGGCAAGCAGAGCAAAGATGAAAACTAAACTGGGAGTACTTATGATCTAATTATTAAATATGTATTTATTTGACTTCATGAGAACAGTTTCAATTAGCACATATTTGCAATGTATGAAATCTGAAGAGAAATTTCGAAAGCCTTTTAATTTAAGTGGATGACGAATCGAGAATTCAATTAAATTTTTTCGATGCAAAGTACGAAGTCGTGCCTTCTGGAAGAACGTTGTAGAATCGAGGAAAATTAACAAGCGAGATCTAATTAATTCAAAGAGAACAACGAGCCATGAAAGGAAGGAGAAAATATAGAAGCATGATTAGCGTTACCGTCGTTATAGCATAATTTGTAGATACTCGGTCAGATAGACGCGCATAATCACGAGGATGTATTCTGAGCGAGGTAGATAAATTAACGTAGATATCGAAACGTTCCGGACATCCTTATTCACGCATCTCGCAAACTAATCGCGAGTGAAATGAATCATTGCGAAAACTATGCTAAGAATATTTTCGACACCCGAGACCACCTATGAAATTATTTTACTACTGACCATCTCAGAAGGGAACTTGGACCGCAAACGTCGATCGTACTTTATGCAGAAGCGATGTCAGAGCGAAATCACTTTTGTTTTTCGATCGGCCTGCACTCGGCGTACTGTACGGTTTTACGAGGTGCAGGTCCTTTACCTCGTGCCCAACGCAACGCAACGCGTTCAGCCGATGCGTTTCTCGCGGCCCTGGCTCTTCTTTTGTTCGAGCCTTGCTCGATTCTCCATTTACATTCCAGCGTAGTCCATCGGAGTCGGAGTGCTTCCTGTTTCTCGAACGACTCACCGTCACTCCCGTTTTCTCGCTCCTCTTCCGTCTCCGTACGCGCGACTAGAACGCGTTTTAGAGATCGGAAGAGAATCGGATCAACGGACGGTCCGCGATCAGGGTGGTTTGCTCTCGCTCTCGACTCTCACGTACGATTTTTTTCTCGTTAATCCGATGATGATAAACGGTAGGTCGGCCGATACCGTTTCCTCGCAATCGTCCTCGGAGGGACTACAAATTAACGAAACCACTTGCACCGGTAGATGTACCGGTACCGGTGGCGACGACCAGAAAGGGAGGCGGTCGCGTCGGCAGGAAGAAGAGAAGGGGTTGAACACACCGCCGCATCTCCGTTTGTTTCAACCGGAATACCAATGAATTTTCAAGCGGCCCGCACGTGACCCGAATATTACCGTCCGCTCGACGCCTCTTTCATATATGTATTTTTTTATTCCACCTCCATTACGTCACTTGAACTCTACTTACATCGCGAGCTAATAATCTGTCAATAGTCACGTTCCTATATAAGATAAAATAAATAGCGTAGGCTGTTCCGTAGCAAATGAACAAGGTAGAATTAAGGGTAGGAAAAGGGGTTCCGGAGTTTCACTGTCGAATTGGTCACGCAACGCAGATGCCGCGTTCGCCACCTACGGTGCGCTATGATTACGGAAAGGAGAGTAATTTGAAAGATCAGGACTAGGGGACCGAGACCGGGGCCGAGGCCGAGACCGAGACCGTGGCAAAGAAGTGGGAGAGCGCGAGGGAACACGGTGCTGTCCGCTTTTCCATCGTTCGTTCACGGGGGCCAAAACGCACCGGAGTGCCGCTCAGTCATTCGGAAGATCCTGCGAATACTAGTCGCGGTTTCTGTGTCGCACATCTGCTTTCCACGCACCTTCGTTGTTACTCTTCGTTCTTACTTACTTAGAAAAGACGATCGAAATAAAAACAATAATTTAAAGTTAACGACGATTATCCAACCGGACAGAAACTCAAGAAAAATCATGCGCGACCGCAATGGAACGGTGATTGGAATTATTTTTCTCTTGGCCGCAATTAATCACTTGGTGAGTTTCATTTATCAAATTTGTGCATCTAATCAATCCGAACACTGTGTATCTAATCAATTTAGATTTTAACGCAACAGTAAAAAAAAAGATAAATTAACGAATAGATGTACCGTGTAACGATCGGTTCCTCGAAAAGGCGCGTTCTTTCACGGAAAAGCGCGCAAATTGCGTGCGCGCATTCTTAACAAACAGCTGGCTAACGGTGCGCGTTACGCGGCTGCCTTCTCTAGTCCGATGTCGCGTCTCATCCTCATCTCGTTCGTTGCACCTCGCCACCGTTAACGATTCTCCCATTCACAGGGGAACCTCTCCTCTTTTCACCTGTTCCTTCCGCGTTTCCACGTTCGTCCCGACACTCTTCCTCCTGTTCATTGTTCGCTCGCTCGTGAGAATCCCGATGACATAAAAAGGGGAAACGGTGAGTCGACGGAAACGGCGGAAGGGAAAGGGTGAACGTGGGTCACGATTTCCAGTCGAAATTCGAATTCTCATCACGCGGATTTCAGGGGACGATCGTGAGCTCGGCGTCGATCGTCAGGAGTTTCAAACTCGGGGACCGATGCTCGAGGGACGCGGAATGCGAGTCGAGCATCGAGGGTAGCCAGTGTCAGCGCGGTCACTGTCGCTGCTTACCCTTTTACGCCGCGTACAACGGGACGCAATGTTTAGAGGGTGAGAATTCGACGGCAATAAAATATATATATTCGTAGAATTCAAAGAAAAGAAGAGAATGCGCACGTGTATAATTTCGATTGTGCAGCGACTCTTCTCGGGCAGGAGTGTCTCGTACACGAGCAATGCACGCTGAAAGTGGCGAACAGCGCGTGTCTCGATGGTCTCTGCGGCTGCAAGGACGGTTTCCTTCAGTTTCGCCGACACACTTGCCTGAGCCGTAAGTAGGCGTACGTATGTACAATATTCGAATACGCATGATAACGGTTGATCGAAAAACGCGCGACTCGTTACGTTCCAGCGGCGAAACTCGGCCAAGTTTGTTACGAGCACGCCCACTGCCGACTCTGGCAGGAGGACTCGCACTGCGACTTCCTGATTCCGAATCTGTTCGGCCGATGCCAATGCACCGCGCCTATGCGTCGCGAGGGCGACGTCTGCCGACCGGACGATCTGGTGAGGCCGGCACCGCTCTTCGATCACGTCCACACGGAACCGCAATTCATCGAACAGACCACGTATACGACGACGGACGAAGGAACAGGTGCGTATTTGAATAATATTTATCAGGAAGAAACGAGGACTCGGTAGCCGTCGTTCATGGAGAGGAAAAGAAAGAATTTCTAATATTGCTTAAAAAATATTGAAATTTTGGGCTACCGCGATTTTTGTATTTCGAATGTTCCTCTTACAGGAGTGGATGTATCTTGGCTGAAAAATGGTACCACGCAATCGATACCGTTCATCTCTACTGATATGATCACTGGCTCAAATTCAATCGACTCTCAGACAATCGGTGTAGAACAAGACGGAGACGATGCCGTCGTCATCGACGCTGTCACTGAAACCGCAAACGACACATCAATACTATGTAAGACGATTGATATCCAGAAAGTAATAAAAATTAATATAAATATTTGATATGTGTCATCTAATGATTGATACAATATTTTTTATTATTGATATTTCTTATAATGTTACGATAATTGACATGGCAATTGATATAAGAAACTTGGATCGACAGCATTGTCACCCACGAAGACGGACCGACACGAAGTGACGCCGGTCAGCCTGGGTCTCGATTGCGTTTCGGATCTCGAGTGCCGACTGGCCGATCCCTCTTCGCGGTGCATCGACGGTGTATGCGACTGCGGGTACCGAGGAAACGCGAGCTGTTCAGCCAAGAGCACCGGGTGTACGCCGGGCACTTTTCAATGCAGGAGCTCCGGAGCGTGCATCAGCTGGTTCTTCGTCTGCGACGGTCGACCGGATTGCAGCGACGGTTCGGACGAGCAGTGCTCCGAAAACGAGACCAAGTGTCCGGAGCAGGCGTTCGTTTGCGAGAAGAGCAAAGTGTGCGTATCGAGAGCGATGGTGTGCGACGGGAAGCGGGATTGCCCGTACGGCGAAGACGAAGTCGGATGCAACGATCGACGAAGTAGGTCCCTTTCCTTTTGTTCCTAACGATTCCTCGATGGCTTCCTCAATAATTAACGAATCGAACTACTAATTTGACGCGCGCAGGATGCCCGGAGGGCGCGTTCAGGTGTAATAATGGCCAGTGCTTGCCGGCGTACGAGTTTTGCAACGCGGTGGTGTCCTGCCGCGACGGAAGCGACGAACCGAGGGGAGCTTGCCGGACGCCGCGTACTGGGAATCGCAGGAGAGTCGCCACGAGGTATTGTCCGTTCAGGTGTGAGAATGGTAGATGTCGATCGGACGCGATCGTTTGCAGCGGCCGCGACGGCTGCGGCGATGGTTCCGACGAGAAAGGCTGCTCCGTTTGCAGTAAGTATCCACAGCACTTTCTATTAGAAACCGTATCAATATTGACACACGTATCGACGCATTGCGACGTTCAGCGTTCATTTGGGATGAAAATAGAATCAGATGGGCGTCAACTCGCAATTGATAAAAGAATTATCACGGCTGTGTAAAATACCTAAGACGATGTATAATTAAAAGAGTCGTAATTGTTCTTCGTGTCTCTCGTTATCTAATAATTTCCAACGCGTATTATCTTCATAGAGGAAACAGAACTTCCTGTCTAACGATTATAACGTCAGGGACACGTATAGATAATTCTATCGTTATAAAAAAGAAAACTGTCTTTCCTTTATTTGCAGGATGTTCGCAGTTCCCTTAACCGACTCGAGGTAGGATCGCGCGATTGTTCCGGCCAGGGGAAAGGGTTCAAGGAGTTTGAGACGCTCTTCCCATGGAAGAGCAGTTATGAAAATTACCCAACGATGAAAAGAGAACGATCAGATTTTCGTTCAATGCCTCTCATCCATACGTCATCCTTTTGTATCTCTTTTTTGATACGCGACTCGAATAAACGTACGAAAGCAAATTCGTTGTCGTCGATTTCCATTACGATACTTTCTCGTTTCTCTGGTTTCTCGTCTGACTCCTACGTAATTAAAGATCGATAAAAGAAGACACGAAGTATGCCGACCGATTCGATTAAACAATTCCATGTTTAATATAAATAAATATTTTAATAAGTTTTTTAATAAGAGATTTGTCGAGAGAATAACGAAACGAATCGTCGACGTTTCGATTCGAAGGGCGCATCTGCGCGATGCCTACGGCCAACATGTCGGCCAGGGGTGGTCGATACCCAACCCCTGCGTCACGAATTCCGTCACCGAAATTCTCGACGACATACCTACCCGTGCGTGTGCCACCAGCTCGTTTCTTTGCTCATCGACGATCCGTTTGACGTCTGTCCTTTAAGTTAATAGCGGCTGCCTTTGGATCGAGCGAGCTGCATACGACGACGCGCATAAACCACCACCCCCGTTCCTCCCGTATCGTCCCACTCACTCCTCGGGCGCATCGTTTTAGACGCATTTGCGTCAGTCGTTATCGAGACTTCGACGGCGCGGCGCATCTCCATCGGAGTCGGCCGGGTCGTGATCTACGATTTTCTCGATCGAGACCGGGAGACATGAAAATTGGGGGAACTAAAAGAATCTGAGACTCCGTCTCGTCGAGAGTCGCGTGCCAAACCGTATCGACCTAACGTAATTTTGGGACCGTGCAGAGAGTGTCAGCCCAATACATATGGAATATCTTGAGTAAATACATACGTACAGCAGTCGTCGACGCATCGAATCGATCGGAACACAGGAACCGACACGGTTTCTCTTACTAGGGATCAAAATTAGAGCGGAACACATCATTAGTCGATGACCAATATTCCGTAGCTCTTTTCAAGTATACTTGATGGCAAGTCATGGATGTCACGAGGGCAAGAGTCTTAAAACGTACGAGGAATCACGTGTCCCGACGCTAGTGGACGCGAAGTCGGGAGTGCCGGCAAACTTAATCAAACGAAAGTAGTGATATCCGGTGAAGATAATCATTCGGGAGTAGCGAAATCCGGTCGACGGAGGGGCCCGGTTTCTCGCGACGTTTTCGCGACGACGACGGCTCTGTTCGCGAACGGAGAGCAAGAACAGAGAGCGAGGCTCGGGAACGAGGCTCGATGATCCTCGCGATCAGGTTCGCGTCGAACCGACGCTCGCCGAGAGTATGCTACCACGAGCAACGAAGCCGATTCCCGAGGTTCACCGGGTCGACATCAAGGGGGATGGGAACGGGGGTAAAAAGAGACGATCCCGGTTGGTCGTCGATTGCCTACGTCGACGACCGAGTTTCGTACTGCTGTTGCTCCCGGCCGCGCTTGTCGCGAGCTTGTACATCGTTTCATCCGAGGATGATTTCGCCCAGAGATATCAACCCTTCTACAGGCCTTACAACGCGACGGAGGGTGAGTCAACGACTGCAGAAAGCTCTTCGGAAGAGCGTCGATTTTTGCCTTATTAAAAGCGATGATTTCGAATTCTACCCAAAACCGACCGTAACGACCAATTTCGATACTTGTAAGAAAGTAACATAAACACGAATCTTCTGTTTACGTATTAGAGAGAACACACGTTTAATTGATAACATCTTAACTTTACAAATATTGACAACGGACCAAAGAACACTTTTGTTACATACATACATACATCTGTTCTGGTGCGATTGAAAGAAAGATCAAATGTTCGTGCACAAACAGCGGATGGTTACCTGGTGTGGAGCTCGCGGTGCCAGATGCTGTCGAAGGATCCGCTGGATTCGTCCATTCGAGCCTACGTAAAGAAAGAGAAATTCGAGAAGTGCACGACCGAACCCCTGATCACCGGCCTATCTCGCGAGGAAAACGGCACCGTGGTCCTTTTCGTGGACCCGGCTGCTTTGAAACATCAACCCGGCCTCGAGTGCTGTTGGTCGCCGGTCTACAGATCTGACAAACAACCGAAGAAACCGACGAAGGACAACAATATTGATTCGTCGATCGTGTGAGTAGGTAACACCGGTAAAATTCTCGCAGGGGCTCGCTCAAGTCTACTTTGACGATCTTCCAAAGACTGGTCACTTGCATCATCGAATACAGTTTCATTGGAACAATTTACAATTTATTATGCGATTGCAATTATACAATTAATTTAATAATTTACTATGATATTTCGATTGAAATAGTCTACGGTACGTCAATGATACAAGTGAAAATCTTTAAGGATGTATTGGCTATACAGTCAATCCCAAAAGTTTATGTACCTTAGAAAAACGCATTTCCCATAATTAAAA